CTTACTTGTGTAGTACTTTTTGCAAAAACTTACTTACTCTTGCTTGAGTTATCTCTTGGACCACCACTTGCTACTTCTATTTGAGTAATATTTTGAAGTAAAGTTGTTCTTACATGAGTTATGAATGACTCTGCTCACCACTGCTGGTTGTTGTCCTCTGAGAAAAGCTGCTGTATAAAGCACTCTGTAAAATGTAGTGCTGTGAACTACAAGAAGAGGGCGCCATTTCACTTTGGAAAGTCCTAAAGGCTTTGGCTACTGTGCAGTGTTATAGCTGCTGCACGAATATTTCTGTTTCGTTTTTCTACAGCAATTTGGTTTCTTTTTAGTGTAAACTATTAAATCAATTCAACTCCGTTATCTAATAAAGTGGCATTATTGACAACCCGTTTCACTGTGTGGCAACTTAAACCACTAAAATATTCATACGGTTATTTATTTATTTATTTTTTAAATAATATTGGATTAATATTACAATGTTTTTGGAAATAGCTATCGAGCCTTCAGCTTGAGCTCCAGGCTCTGACTAAACAAAATCCATGAAGCTTTGTTTGACCTTGTTGCAGCATTTGCATCAGTCCATCACAAGGTGGCACTACACTACACAACTACACATGGGTTTAAACTTTTTTTTTTTTGTGATTGTTATTTATTTTTTAATTATTATTTATTAAATATTTTACAAAATAATAAACTGTACCTGAGTGCATAATTATGTTTAATATGAGGGGACAAAAATATTAAGATTTTGACTAAAACTAAAAATAATTCTATCAACTTTTTTTTTTTTTTTTGGTCAAAATTAACACTGATTTCTATAAAAAATAAATAAAAAGTAAATAAATAAAAATTTAGATAATAGATAACTGAAAATAACTTGAGGTCCAACATAATACAGGACATATAACAATACAAATTTGCACCCACAACTCCAAAAGTGTTAATATTTTGTTAGTTTGATAGTTTCATAATCACGAGTTTGTTCATGACGCATTACCTCACTGAATCTGCAGAGTGGTCATGAGGTGAACATTTACAGCTTTGTTTCTGGACAGACTCGTTGTTTATATTTCTGTCTGTCACATTTGTCCGACTACAAAGGAGAATTCCAGGAAAACGTTATCTACAGACTGTCTGACGCTGCCCTCCCGTTTAAGGAGATGGAGCTCACACCGTCCTGTTACTGCAGTTTGACGGGACGTGATTACCAAATCACGAAGGTCACAGTTTTTCAAAGGGGCACTATGTAACATTTAACAGTGCTACCGTACATTTATTCAATTATAGATGGTTTTATAGCTCAAAAATACCTAGAAAAACAGACATTCTGACAGTGAGCGGGGTCGCCTCTCCACAGATCTGATCTCTAACTTGGTCTGGTTTGATCTGTGTGAAAATAGAAAGGTTTAATACTACACTGTGAAACATTCCAGACAAAGCAATGACATCGAGATGGAGAAAGTGGGCAGTAGAAAGTGGGTGTAGTGGGCATGGTACGTGTGGGTGCACTTCTCCCGACGTGAAAAAAAAAAATAAAAAAATAAATATATATAAAGTAACTACAACTTAAATGTCAAACTGGAGCTACTGGCCATGGTGAAAACAACCTGCATAGGCTCATGATATCTGCAGTACTGTCCTATAGTGATGTGAGACATGAGGGACCAGGACTAAACCAGGACTGAACCAGGACTGAACCAGGACTGAACCAGGACTGAACCAGGACTGAATCAGGACTGACTGTCGGTATGGGCCCAGAGGTGCGCCCGTAGACTGTTGGGTGACTGCAGGTGAAAGGACCGGTGCAGAGCTCCATGCCCACTGGGCTAAGCGCAGCTGTCGCCCGATCACGCTTTGCAGGCATCCTGCTCCACGGGCTCCGGGTTCTATCTCTCGCTCTCAAGTCAAAGATTAGTCCTGGTTTAGTCCTGGTTTAGCCCTGGTTTAGCCCTGGTTTAGCCCTGGTTTAGCCCTGGTTTAGCCCTGTTTTAGTCCTGTTTAGTCCTGGTTTAGTCCTGGTTTAGCCCTGGTTTAGTCCTGGTTTAGTCCTGCTTTAGTCCTGCTTTAGTCCTGCTTTAGTCCTCATGGTTCAGTCCTGGTTTAGTCCTAGTTTAGTCCTGGTTTAGTCCTCATGGTTCAGTCCTAGTTCAGTCCTGGTTCATGTGGTGTTCTATAATTTATGTTCTGTAGATGATTATGAACGATGTTAATATTAATAACATAATTCCGCATCATTTTAAGTAAAAAAAACATCAAATATTACAGATTTTTACTGGACTGGCACCTTTATATTTGTACTGAAAGTGAGATTTATTTATTTATTTTTTAATAAGCAAACAATTTATACTGGACACCTGTGTGTATTTTGGAAGTTGAATGTACGACTTTTAGGGTGGAGGTGGATTTGCGAGATTCATGACGTCACAAATCTCGTACCCCCACTTCAAAAAATCCCCACTACTCCACTGGGAGAAAGCGTCTGACGGACCCTCCGCCAGAAAAGTTACGCGTTGCACCTTTAATCCCGTCCTCATTTCACCTCCCTGACAAACCTGGGCTCTGAAACGGCGTGTGGGAATAGAAGAGCGACTGATAAGACTTAGTAAGGACTGAGAGAAGCGAGGGGGGCGAGACGGGGGAGGTACGGAGGAGCCCAGTTTGGCGCTGGGAGCTTGTTTACACGTTTCACACAATACACACTCACATAAAGCCCCTGTGTGTGTCTGAACAGATCCAGTGTGTCCCCATAGGCCTCTTGGAAAAGCTACAGATATAATGACGTGACGGTTGTTTCTAGAAAGTCCAGGCCAAAAACAACATAAAAAACTCTCTGTAATCCAAAAACGTGTTCATTTTGTCGTCTTTTGTACGTTCACTTCTTGGGTTCTTTTCAAAGCCAATACAGTAGGAGATGTAATTATTACCTCATGTTGCTGCGAGTCATCTCCAGAACTGTCATTGTGTTTCTAAAAGTTCAAACTTGATTTCAATGCAAAGGAAGAACTCAATACTCGATACCGATTACGATACAACATGAAGATAAAAAATGCTCTTGCCGCATGCTTTTTAGTACTGTATTTTGGACTATAAGTCACATCGGCCAAAAAAATGCGTAATGAAGAAGAAAAAAACATAAGTCGCACTGGACTATAAGTTGCACTTTTTGGGGGAAATGTATTTTATAAAATCAGAGACCAGGAACCAACATTTCATCTTGAAAGGAGAGTTATAGTAACAACAACAGAACAGAACAAAAGGCTGAAGAGGTGTTTGTATGTTTACGTAATATATTAAGTTATTCAGATAATTATAGCATAAACAACAGAACATAAGTTTATCAAACTCTCGATCTCACTCCAAATCACCAAATCCACTGAATTCTTCATCCTCGGTGTAATTTCTGCGTGACCTCCAGAGGTAAACCATAGATCCATGAGGTAAACGGAGCGCCACTTCCTCTTCTGTGTAGCTGTCATCAGACTCGGCATCAGTTCCACTTGCAAGTCGTGACTTGGACTCGAGTCAGATTTGAGTCACTATTTTTAGGACTTGACTTGATAAAATGGACTAAGACTTGATAAAATAAAATAAAGATATCTTTCGAGATATGTCATGTTAAACCTTTTCTTATCAAAATAAATGTTTAATAAGAGTTTTGAACCAGTATTTAACAACATTTTAAATAAATAAAGTCTCTATAGTCTTATCTGTAGCTGGCGGGCAGCTCTAATACATATTTGACATGATCTTGTGGGCCAAATTTTAATTATATGGCAGGCCAAATTTGGCCCCTGGGCCTGAGTTTGACATGTCTGATCTAAACCATCTAAAAATATCCTACCAGTCAAATGTTTGGACACACCCTCTCATTCAATGTTATTCCTTATTTTTACTACTTAGATACGAAAGACATCAAATATCTGAAGTAAACTATATGGCATTATGTAGGAAAAATAATGTTTTTTCAATATTTCATATTCAAATCCTCAAAGTAGCCATCCCTTCCGTTGTCTAAAAATATTTAGTACAGTTATTTTAACTTTTTTGTGTGTCCAGACTTTTGAACTTTCAGTTAAAAGTTTGTGTCAGTCTTTCACCCTCATCCAGCTCAGGTTTTCTCCCAGAGACCTGGGAGCTTTAGAGTTCTGCGCAGTATTTTTATTGTTCATAGAACTACACTGTACTTCTGGACTGAGATGTCTGATGTTTTTCTTGGGATCTGCTGTAGCACCTCCTCCAGTTTGGGGGTTAGAACCCCGAGTGCTCCGATGACCACGAGCACCACTGATGCCTTCACCTTTCAGGCTTATATATTTATATTAAAAGTATTTTAAAGAACTGTCCAAATATTTGACTGGTGTTGCTTGAAATACATTATCAGTATATGAAGTAAGATATGGAATTATGTGGTGAAAAAAACAAGTCAATAAATCTACTAAATATTTTTTGACAAAGCAAAGTCTGTTTTGAATATTTTGATAAAATACATGTCTTACTTCATATATTTGGTTTTGTCTGTATGTATCTAAATTATAAAAGGTAGTACAAATAAAGAAAACAAAAAACACTGAATGAGATAGTGTGTACAAACTTTTGACCGGTGCTCTACATTTCAACATTTCCAAATAAGCACATTCCCAACGCGACTCTAATAATCAGACACAACCTCCTGGAAGCTGTTGGTTTCCCCCGACTTCCTGTTATGCAGGGTTACTCCTGGTCAAACTCTGCACTCTGACAACTTAACGTTTACACTGAAAAAACTGCTAAAACCTTCTCTTCTCAAGACATAAAATCAATCAGATGAGGTTAGGCATTCCTTAAAACTCCTTAAAATTCCTCAAATGCACAATCCCAATTTAAAATCATTGCCAAACATTCCCACTGCAGAGTTTTCCCAAATGAACTCTAGTGAACCCGAGCTCTCCTAGGACCTCCCCTCTCTCAGTCAAAAACACACAGAAGCCCCGCCCACTCCTCTCCTCCACTACCGACTCCAAACAATGTCAGCGAAGGAGGTGGAATCTTCTGAATTGTGCGGCCAGACGTCCTCACGGATACCTGGAATACAACTCCTGAGAAAAAGTTGTGACAGGCGCAAATTTGACCGGAGCGTTCTTTGAGAGCTGCCGTGTTTGTGGACAGCCAAGAACGTGTATGCAAAAACTTCATTTGGATTTATGCATTGTTTTTTCTTCCATGCCGGATCAGAGAAGAATGGACGCAGGATAAGTGTTTGAAGAAGAATTCCGATATCGTTTTTTGGGAATATCGCAATTTTGAGAATTTGTCCTTGCAAATGTGAAATTTCTTGAACTTTTTTTTTTTCATTTTTCATTCAAATAATTATATAAAGACAATATTTATCCATGCAACGTTTTACGCCATGTGATCCAACCTTTTCCCAGTTATGACATATCAGAATTCTGGAAATACAGCTCTTTTTTAAGCGCCTAACCTTGAACTATTCCAAGCATGGGGCCAGAGAGCTCTATGGATTCTGACAGTGAAGTGAACTGGGATTTGGAACGTGGGGAGAGGCAGAGGAAGGAATGGAGATCGGAGAAAGTCCCAGCTGTAAGTTAAGTGGCGACCGGGATATGGATCACGTTAAGGTTTAAGTGGAAAACGCTAACCCTAACCGAGCTTAAACGTTCCCAGACCTAAAGCTAAGAGTGTGGTCAAAAGCAAGTTAAGGCGCGTCGTGACATTTGAAGAGCTGTTAAACTGTCAACTAATTATTTGAGTGAGTTATTAAAGCTGCAATGTGTAACTTTTCGGCAGTGGTGTAGTGGGGATTTTTTTAAGTGGGGGTACGCGATTCGTGTGATCCATCCACCTCCACCGCAAAAGCCGAACACTCAACTTTACATGCACTCAAACACAGTTGTCATATAGATGTTTGTTTATTTAAAAATAATAATAATAATAATGTTTTGCTCAAAATGATGTGGAATTAACGGCATTCATAATCACCTACAGAACATAAATCATAGGTTACAACACATGAACCAGGACTAAACCAGGACTAAAAAAGGACTGAACCAGGACTGAACCAGGACTAAAAAAGGCCTAAAACAGGACTAAACCAGGACTGAATCAGGACTGAACCAGGACTAAGCCAGGACTAAAAAAGGATTAAACCATTAGTGAACCATTACTGAACCAGGACTGAACCAGGACTGAACCAGGACTGAACCAGGACTGAACCAGGTCGAAACCAGGTCGAAACCAGGTCGAAACCAGGTCGAAACCAGGTCGAAACCAGGTCGAAACCAGGTCGAAACCAAGACTAATCTTGGACTTGAAAGCAAGAGAGAGAACCCCAAGCACGTGGAGCAGGATGTCCGCAAAGCACGATCCGGCGACAGCTGCGCTTATCTCCGTGGGGTGCGGAGCTCTGCACCGGTCCTTTCACGTGTGATCACCCAACGCACACAAGCACACCTCTGAGCCCTTACCAACACTCAGTCCTGTTTCAGTTTTGGTTTAGACCTGGTTTAGTTCTGTTTTAGTCCTGGTTCAATCCTGCACTGTGTAACATTTCTGGTAAAGGGTGCACTACATAACCTGTAATGTCTCATAGTATAACACTAAACATAACTTACATTCTTCCTGTGAGCCTCTCCACAGATCTGACCTGTAACTTGATTTTCATGGAGATCAATCCAGGTAAAGGTGCACTGTGTAACTTCTGGTGCAGCAGGGTCCATCAAATGTTTTTCTCCATGGAGATGATGTTGCTTTTTCTGAAATGTTTCACAGTATGACATTAAACCTTTCTATCTTCACGGACACCAAACCAGACCAAGGTACAAGTGCACCTTTAATGCCATATTGTGGAACATTGTAGGCAAAGCTAAAACAACTTAATATAAATAACTTGTTACCCTTCACAGTGCACCTTTAACACCTTTTAATTGTTATGTAAAAATAATCCAGAGATACATTTTTTATACAATTTAAAAATACATAATCAAAGTCTTTTTTTTTTTTTTTTTTTGGCCTTTTTGACTGAAACAAGTTTGTACAAATTGTAATAGTTCCATGTCATTGCAAAACTCACAAAGAGTTCCTATAGAATGACTGAGTGACATGTGATATTTGACAATGCACACTGAGACACCGAGACTACCAAGAGATGTTCTTTTCTTTTTTTTGCACACTCAAAAGTTTCTCAGTGCACCTTTATCACTTTTTTATTGTTATGTAAAGAGAATCCAAAGATATATTCATGTACAAATTCTCTCTAAAAGAAGAATACAACTATATGAATATGTTTTTTTTTTTGTTTTTTTTACCTTTTTGGCCAATATTTGTTCCTGTGTCATTGCAAATCTCACAAAGAGTTCCTATATGAAAGACGGCACTGGAGGTCGGCGTACAATCATGTGATATTTGAGAAAGACCTGACCTTTTGTAGTGTCTTGTTTGTCAAAGCTCACTCAGTCTACTATGAGACTGATTAATATCCCATTTTCTTTTCTTTTTTTTTGCAATATATTTGCTTTTTGGTGAAATAAATATAACAAAAAATACATAATATAAAAGGAATTATAAATGTAGACAAGTATAGGTAGCGAATCTTTTGATAATAACGGTTTCTTGTTGACAATGTTCTTACTTCTTTTATTAAAGGGCAGATTTAAGTCATGTTATAATGTTGTTACCTCCTCAAAAAATACCTGGAGTTGTGTTTTGTTTCATTCACACGTTCGAGTAATCTTTTTAGTGTGTTTACATTTCCAAAGCTCAAAATGTTCTGAAATAGATGCAGTTGGAGCGCTCTCTGGATCACCGCTGAAGTGAAATAATAATCAGAAGATAATAATGAGGAGATCCCAAATGGGAAAATAACTTACTGGATGAAAAAGGAGATCCAAGGCACTCCTATACACTTTGCTATTATTTATTTCATGTCAAACTTTTGACTCAAAATACTCCGTTCCAACTTGTGATGTCATGTAGTGGTAGTTTTACACTAAAACGAATCACCGTATTGGAAGACACATCATTTCTGTGTTCACAATCCTTCCCTATCCACACAGCTTTGCACATATTTGTTTACATTTTACAGAAACGAAACTTTAAACCACATGGCTCATTTGCATAAACTAAGCGCTCAAAAAAACTGCTCGCTATTGTGTCCTGATGCGGTTCAGCTTCTGTCGGACTAAAGGACACAACTCAGTGGAATATGAGTGTTCTTTCTGTGACAGAGGGGTGTTCTGCTGATGGTGAGTCTGTTCTGTGTTTCTATCGCGTTGGAGATGATTCACGTTAAACTTTTCAGAGATTATACGTCTGCAGGTCTTACACACACAGACCATATATATGAATGGACATATATTCTAGCCCCTTAACGTTTTTGGCGGTGAATTACTTCGCGGTGCATAGACCTACATCAGTGTATCTGTTTTCAGGCGTCCATACAGTGCCGGATCAGATCTGTACTCAATTGAATTCGTGGGAGCTGGCGGCACCAGATCGTTCCGTCTCTGGAGCCCTTTTCCATCGAATTAGTGTGGACAAACACTGCATCCACAACAAAAAAGAATACGTTCTAGTGTGGACAGGGCCTTCAAGTTACAGCTACTTTTTACCGTTAGTTCAGCAGAGATCGGCAATTCCAGATCTGAAATAGTCCAAATGATTCTAGTGAAGGTGTATGGAGTTTAAAAACACAATGGAGCACTTCCTGTATTACCACATAACATGAGTGTTTTCAGTTTGAGAGAAGAACTCAGCCAAAATTTGCAGGGTTTGTGTGTTTAAAAATGTGCAAATGAGATGGACAAAACACAACTCCAGGTCTGTTTGTGATCAGAAAATAGCGTATTATGGGTTTTTTAACTTGCAAGTATTAATAATCAGTTTGAGATCTACGCATTAACGTAACTGAACTAAGTTTTCCTGCAAAGTGGATTTTTTTCAGTCACTGAAATCCTTCTTGTTGTAGACTTAGTCTTGTCGCATGAAGCAGTTGGACCAGTATTGTGTGTACTGACAGTTATTTGTAGGTTTGTCTAGGAGTACAAAGGTAAATAGCCTAATCTGTCTCTAATTGCGTCAGTTAAAGTGTGACTCTTGTATACACACCAAAAAACTGAAACCTAGCCAAGTTAAAATGACTTAAGAATGTGAGTGTGTCAACCAATGGAGCAAGACTTTTTGTACTTAAAATATGAAAATACAGCAACTTTTTAACTTTAAGAGCAACTTTAAATAAGAAATAAAATGTCATGTTGCCTGAATAAAGAAAAACACACTTATTTCATTGCTAGATAATTTGACTTGTCCAGTTGAATCTTCTCAAATAAAGTTAAATTTTCCTAATTTAAGTAATTTTTCTGTTGGAGTGTGCCTGAATTTATTGATTTGCCTGCAGTGTTCCACAATATCAACAATAAAGGTGCATTGTGTAACTTTTCTGGTGAATGACAAGTATATCTAGTATTTATTCGATTACAGGTGTTTTTATTTCTTAAAACTACAGTTAAAACATGCATTATTATTGTGAGCGGGCCCACTTCTCCACAGAACTGACCTGTAAAATTGGCATTGTAATGTGGTCTGCTTGTCTCCATGGAGATAATGAAAAGAAATGCCATGCTGTTGAACTTTCCTGGAAAAAAAAACATTAACTTAACAGAAAACTGAGTGTCCCCTTTAAATTAAAAGTGGTTTTATAGCTCAAAAATACTTAGAAAAACTGGTATTCAGACTGAGCGGCGTCGCCTCTCCACAGATCTGACCTGTAACTTGGTCTGGTTTGGTCTCCGTGAAAATAAAAAGGTTTATACTCTGAAACATTCAAGACAAAGCAAAAACATCTCCATGGAGAAAAGCATTTGATGGATTCTCCACCAAAAAATTTACACAAAGCACTTTCAACGGATGTGAAATTAATACAATGTGTTTACTAAAATCCCTGGATAAAGCAGGAGAGAGTGGATGGATGTCTATGTAAACCAGGCTACGCTCCATTGACTCTGTATTTGAACTAGTTTTGTTTGTCTATGTCTTTGCCAGGTCCTGAGCCCAACCTACAAACAGCGGAATGAAGACTTCCGGAAGCTTTTCAAACAACTGCCTGACACTGAACGCCTCATCGTGGGTGAGCAGAGACGATCAAATACAAAAGAGATTAAATATATATAAAGACGGAGTTTTACTTTGTCTGACTTAGATTTGAAAAGAGTTGTTTATACACGCAGCCAGAAACAAAATGTGTTGCAGTTTAAGATGTCAGAAAAGTCTCATTCAGTTCCGTAATTCTGTAATTGCAGCAAAATTACATGTTTTGTTTCCAAGCTCCATCACTGTAGCTTAAAGGCACAGTGTGTAACTTTCTGGAGGGAGCTCGTCGCCTGCATGATGTAGGTTTGGTTGCTTTATTCGTGCGCGTAGGTAAATTTGTTTTGCAGATTTGAGAGGCTGGTCCCACATTTCACATTTTATTCATCAACATTATGCACAATAAACACGAATAAAAACACAATTACAAAATAAAGTGTTACAGTGCTCCAGTTCTGAATGCCTTTGTGCCATCAGTAAATACATTTATCCATCACGCTGAGCTAAGAGCACAATAAATATTAAATAAATATATATAAAAAACACATGATTTCCCAGACAGTGTACAAAAATTGATAGATAACTAGATAACAGTTTATTCATAAGCAGCTGGAACAAAGCTCCTTTTAAAACAATTCACCAAAGGAACAACATTTCCATGGAAACGAGCAGGAGTAAGGCCCTCCTCTAGGTGAGATCTGTGGAGGGGCAAGCCTGCTGAGTGTAAGGGGCACAGCTTTCTAGATTTTTTTAAAGCAATAAACACAAATTATTTTACTAATTTTTTGTCTGAAAAGGTATAACTGTTACCCTGATTCATCAGCCAGTTTTGCTTTGTTTCACTTCGTAGAAACCATCCGATTTCGTTCGCTCGACGGTAGGCGGGTACTTTTTTTATTTAACCAATAACTGCTGTTTGGTCATGACGTATGTAATGTGCAGCTAACGTGGCAAACTGGTATATTAAGCTTTTCCCAAACTACGTAGGAAGGAGGACAATAACGTCTTTCCCCTTGATAAATTCACCAAATATTCTCTTTATTCTGGCTTTAAATCCTCGATGGAATCGTTGCCAACACAGAATATATGGCTCTTTTGCTGATTGGCTGGTGCCCAGACTCGCACTTCCGGGGTTTTTGCAAACCGTCTAGTGTATTTTGATTCCTCACCTCGTCGCTGGAGAGAAATGAAATTGAGCGGAGGCACTCGGTGGCACCAGCCTGGATAACAAACTGTGGCTTTAAATTGAATTAAATTGTGTAAAAATCTCACTTTCACAATTACTCTTTTGTGTTCTAATGAAAAAGGGGAAAAATAATTTACTAAAATGATTGTTTCAGGTTGTTATTTGATTGAAGAGTGCATGTACAGGAGCCACATGTAAACAGAGTGTAGCTTCGGGCTCATTTCCATCTCGTGTCCTGTGTTTGCTCTCATAAACACACACATCATAAACACACACATAAACACACTCGTACTCAAACCACAATGTACATAGACACATGTACATAGGCAGATCATGTGTCTTGCCCTTGGATACAACAAGTTTCAGCCTCATAATTAATTAATAGGGATGTAACAATAACCAAAACAGATATCATAAATACAGCACTATCGTACCGCCAATGTCACAATAATATCATGGACCATCACAGTATATTAAATTACAAGTCTCTTTGCCGAAATGAATAGTTATGATGCAGCTATAGCTAAAAAAACAGAGGAAACTACATAGACCATGATCCTTTGCTCTGCTTCAGTGCACATAAAAAAAATCATTAAGCACTTTTACATCTTTGTTCTTGTAAATCTTTGGGGGTTTTTTGGTGTTTTTTTTCAAATGCAAATGATTTTTTATTTGGCAAGTCTTCAGCATTCAAGACAAAACACTAATATTTTATTAGCGTTTCTCAAATTGTTTTTTAAAAAATACAAACACATGGACATAAATGGTAAAATTACAACTAAATCTTTGTTCTTTGTGTTATGAGAGAACTAAAGGCTGTTTAAGGCGTTTTAAAATGAAAAAGTAGCATATTCACAGTTTTGTTAGCGCCCATAAAATATTGCAATAAATATTATAAGATGCATGTCGTGAAAATATTGTACAGAGATGTGGTTATAGTTACAATTCTATTAATGAACAACATTTAGAATAATAAATACATGTTGTTTGACGTGCTGTTTTTCCTTCAGACTACTCGTGTGCCCTTCAGCGTGACATCCTCCTTCAGGGACGCCTCTACCTCTCCGAAAACTGGATTTGTTTCTACAGCAACATTTTCCGATGGGAAACATTGGTAAGAGCTTTGGAAAATCCACCGGTGTCTGCAGTGTTTTAAGAGTAAGAACTGAACTGTACGTGTGTGTGTGTGTGTGTGTGTGTGTGCGCAGCTCATGGTCCAGCTGAAGGATATCTGCACCATGACCAAGGAGAAGACCGCCCGCCTCATCCCAAACGCCATCCAGCTGTGCACCAACAACGAGAAGGTCTGTTAGCTTTTAAAGAGAGAAGTAATAGAAATATATGCGTTTGTATTAGTAGTAGTATATTGTAGTTGCTGGCTGTGTTTGAAGATCCACCCTAACCCTTAAACCCTTCATTCACTACACAGTCCTGCACTCTTTAGCGCCCTCTATAGTGCACTCATTCACAGAGCGATTAGGACACACAGCTCACTACTTTCTTACTCTGGCCTCTGGGAGAAAAAAAAGTCAACTGAGGCTATGTTTATATGATGACGGTCTGAACAGAAGACGCAAAAGTGGTCTTCACTTCACTTTTGGAGGAATCTGCGTACATGCGGTGATGCAAAAGTGTGTGGAATTCGATTGGGTATGCATACCAGGTGGCTCGGTGGTGATGTATGTGACTTAAACGCGTACGCAGCGTGAGCAGTCTTACGTCTTGGGCAGTGTAGACGGAAACGCTACAGCGGAGCGTATTCAACTTTTCGACTCTAGATGGTGGTTTCAGATTTTTGCGTTTTTAAGCCCCAAAAACACCATCTAAAGGAAAGGCACTTCTGATAAAATATTTTGTCGTTTGTACCCACTCTCGTGTAAACAGGCTCTCAGATAAAACTTTATTTGCCATAAATAATGATCAGATCGCTGCATCTCACACAAACAGACTGGATTATGTGCTTTTTGTTTTCACCTGCTTGGCATTTGGACAGCCGTAAAAACTGTAAGTTTCTTAAGACTACGTTCTCTCTGATGCTCTCTACTAGAGTATATCTGAATCTCTGATGACAATACGCCCAAACTACAAAAGGAGCCATTCAAACATTTCCCAATAAATCACTATCTCTATTTAACACTACGTGAAGTCCCTACAGCAGAGGTCTCCAACCTTTTGCATCGAGTGAGCTACCTTTAGAAAATGGAAATGCCGGAGAGCTACTCATTTTAGCGGCCGCAAGAAACTGAGTGGATATAAGAGAGCAAGCCTTACATGTTGTACATTTAAGATGCCTTTAAAACATAAAATCAGTATCCGTTTTTTAGTGTACATAGTTCAAAGTAACACATTTACAATGGTAATTAATCAAATTTGAGTTTTTCAGTATAAAAGAAAATAAATTCTTTGGCGAGCTACTTGAAACATGGTGGAGAGCTACTGTTGGAGACCCCTGTCCTAAAGATATTTTAAATTAATCATAAGTTTGTTTGTTTTTTTGTATCTTCACAGCACTTTTTCACCTCATTTGGGGCTCGGGACCGGACGTACATGATGATGTTCAGACTGTGGCAAAATGCTCTCATGGAAAAGGTAAAAAACAAAACCGTAAGGTGTGGCTGAGTCCATTAAAGGGCCTGTATTTCACTGTTATGTATTAGGGATGTAACAATAACCAAAATATCGTGATATCGTATCGTCAGAAGTCTCACAACAATATCGAGAGCTGTCACAATATATCAAATTATAAGTTCCTCTGCTTAAATGCATTGTTCTTTTGTAGGAACAGCTTATAAAAATAGGGAACTACATATCCCATGATTCATTTCAGCACAGACAACATGAAGTAATATGTTTTTTTACTTGAATTCTTGAGCTTCTGACAGTAATAATTCACACCAAAATCTTGTCAGGGTATTTTAAAAGCCAAAAAGTGTCCCATCTACTATTATATTTGCCACTCCAAAATATCACAATAAATATCGTACCGAGAGATTTGAATATCGTATTGAATATTGATTTGAACATCCCTATGTCAAAAACAGACCCGGAGTTGTGTTTTGTTTGAGTCTCACACACACAAACCCTGCATATTTAGGCTGAGTTCTTCTCTCAAACTGAAAACACTCCACCTTGTTCCACCTTGTGATGTCATGTGGTAATACAGAAAGTGCTCCACTGTGTTTTTAAACTTCGTACACCTTTGCTAGAATCAGTTCAGTGAGTTTAGCTCTGGAATTGCCTACTTAACAAAAGGTAAAAGGCAGCTGTTAACTTGAAAACTACCGCATTATGACGTCACAAGGTGGGAGAGAGCATTAAGAACTTTGGAGATGTAGACAGACTAATAATAAAGAATTACTCAAACATTTGTGAATGAAACAAAACGACTCCAGGTTTGTTTAGGAGGCAGTATCAACTTTCTAACATGACTTAAAGCTCATGAAAATCTTTTACTGTTACTTTCCTCCTTTTCCTCCAGCCTCTGTGTCCAAAGGAGCTGTGGCACTTCGTTCACCAGTGTTACGGGAACGAGCTCGGTCTGACCAGTGACGATGAAGACTATGTTCCTCCTGATGAAGACTTCAACACAATGGGGTGAGTGTTAAATACGACCTGAGCTCTGTCATTATGTCATTGTCCATTATGTCTGAATGTCCAGCCTCGTCCCTAACCCCTCAGTCACTCCAGATATTGCACTTCATATTGCACTTCATATTGCACTTCATATTGCACTTCATATTGCACTTCATATTGCACTTCATGTTGCACTTCATATTGCACTTCATATTGCACTTCATATTGCACTTCATATTGCACTCATTCACAGAGAGATTCAGACACGCAGCTCACCACAGTCGGGTCACGTGACTCTGGTGTCTGGGCGAGAAAAAATCAGCTAAACTCCGATAGGACTAAACCAGGACTGAACCAGGACTAAAACAGAACTAAACTAGGACTAAACCGTTTTCAGTCCTGGTATGGTCCCAGTCTCAGTCCTCAGTCCCGGTCTCGGTCCCGGTCTCAGCCCCTGTCTGGTCCCAGTTTCGGTCCCGATCTCGGTCCCGGTCTGGTCTTGGTCCTGGTCTGGTCCTGGTCCCAGTCTCAGTTCTCCTCTCAGTCCTGATCTCAGTCCTTGTCTGGTCTCGGTCTTAGTCCCGGTTTCAGTCCCAGTCTGGTCCCGGTCTCAGTACCAGTCTCAGTACCAGTCTCAGTCCCAGTCTCAGTCCCAGTCTGGTCTCTGTCCTGGTCCCAGTCTCAGTCCTGGTCTCAGTCCTGATCTCAGTCCTTGTCTGGTCTCGGTCTTAATCCCGGTTTCAGTCCCTGTCTGGTCCCGGTCTCAGTACCGGCCACAGTCCCGTCTCAGTTCCACTCTCGGCCCCGGTTTCGGTCCTAATCTCAGTCCTGGTCTGGTCCCAATCTCAGTCCTGGTCTGGTCCCAGTCTCAGTCCTGGTCTCAGGACTGGTCTGGTTCTGGTCTGGTCCTGGACCTGTTTTAGTACTGGTTCAGACCTGGTTTAGTCCCGGTTTCGTCCTGGTTTAGTCCTTATGCGACGCAAAAGTCCAGCATCGCAGTTTAAGTTTCAGACACGCAGCTCACCACAGTCTGATCACGTGACTCTGGCGTCTGGGTGAAATCCACTAAACTCCGACAGAACTTGATTTCTGTCATAAATGATGATCAGCTCAGACTCGCACACAACTATTTATGTACAAATAATAATCATATGAGTTTTGTGAAGCTGGATTTCGCCACACGATGACACCAGTCAAGGTAAAAAACGGGAAGCTCAGACCCACACGCACGTCAGTAGCTTATCTCTCCGGTTGCGCAATTCTTTGATCTTGCAAAATCTCCCCAACCAAACATAATGACACTGTATTTTCCACTTGTTTTGTTGGACTGAAATGATACAAAAACATCAAACCACAAAGGGAATGATCTTTTGTTGCAAACATGAAGAAATAACTATGATATAAAATCACTTTTTAGTTTTGTAGCAGTTTAAAGGAATCCGTGTGTCATTCGTTCATTAGTTTTTCAATGTAAAACCAAAAATAAGAAAACAATTATTTGTCTCAAAAACCAAAATGAAAAAACTGTTAATGATTTGTTTTTCCATTTTTTGATTTTGTATTTAAATGAAGAATGGAAAAAACTGATAACAGCCGTTTACGTGACTTCCGTGACTGCGATGTCGGACTGAACCAGGACCGGTCCGGGACCAGAGCGGGACCGGGACCACAGCGGGACCACAGCGGGACCAGAGCGGGACCGGGACCAGAGCGGATTCCGAACTTTGACTCCGAGCCTCCGTGGGGTCCGAGCCTCGGGTCTGGTCTTGGTGTCGGTCTGGTTCCCGGTCTGGTCCCGGTCTGGTCTCAGTCTGGTCCCAGTCTGGTTTTGGTGTCGGTCTGGTCCCGTCCTGGTGTCTGTCTCAGTCCCAGTCTGGTCCCAGTCTCAGTCCCACTGTGGTCCCGCTCTGGTCCCGGTCTCAGTCTCGGTCCCGCTCTGGTCCCACACTGGTCCCGGTTTCAGTCTCGGTCTGGTCTCGGTCTGGTCTCGGTCTGGTCTCGGTCTGGTCCCGGACCTGGATCAGTCCTTGTTCAGTCCGTATGCGGTGCAGACGTCCGGCAGAAGTCCAGTTGGTGACTCAGCGAGTCCTACCTGCCTTCCCTGGACAAGTGTTCCTGCAGCTAAAGTTGAGAAATGCTTGCTTGGTTGTCCAAAAAAAGGGACATAAATCCAGAAAGATCTGTGCACCTCAGGGAAACGAGGGAAGTCAGGAGCCAGTCCTTAATGAAGCTGGTACGAATGTTGTTGCACCGAAAATTCCTCGCAGCATTAGGATTCGTTCGCTCGACGGTACTTTTTTGATCTAACCAATCGCTGCTGTTTGGTCATGGCGTATGTAATGCACCTCTAACTGTATATTAAGCTTTAAATCCTCGATCACTTTGCATTTATTTTATTTTCCCGTTAGTATAATGTTAAAAGAAATTATTGGTTTAACAAACACACAAATAAACAACAAGCAAATGGCTCTGCATTTTGTTCCCATACTGGACCGAAAATGAACCGAACCATGAGCTCAAAGCCAAGGTACCAAACTGTGGTTTTTGTACACCGTCACACTAGTCTTTTAACTTTTGTATGCAGTTATTATAGTTAGACCCTCCATGCCATCTCCCTCCTCACCCCACCGCCTGTTTGAGCGTAGCCCAGTGCCCACGGCGTGCCACAGGCGTGTAACCTTGACCTACAGCTGCTGTCCGTCTCCCTGGTGCAGATACTGTGAGGAGCTGCCCGTGGAGGAGAACACCGAGCAGAACCAGGAGACCAGCCAGACTCCGGCCAAAACCCCCCCGGACAACCACAAGAGCGCCGAGACCAAGGCCGACGTCAGCCCCACGGCGCCCCACACAGGCTTCTGCAGTAACAACGCCCCGCCAGACCTGCCCAGCAACGAGTCCCCGTTACCTGTAAGCAACCCGCCGCCAAAAGCTGTTGTATGGAGAGTGAACGTCAGTGAATATCAGTTTATTTTAGATTGTAAAATGTGATAATGTCAAGTTTCTCCTTTGAATTCCATTGTACTTTCTTATGAAACTAGACCCATGAACTTGCTTTACAGTGTGGTGGGATTCTTCAGGAAACTCAGGCTTAGTCGGGATTTGTGTTTTTTGGCTGGTTTATTGTCCCGCAGTGCAAAAAAAGATGCCAAATGTGCGTGAAAAAATATTTACAGTGATGCAGTGGTAGTTCTGCTCTGTCACATACAGGGTGTCCCAAAAAATTTGACATCATCTTGCAGGCCAATTCTTGTTGAAATAACCTAAAATTTTCACAGAATGGACAGAAACAGATCGAGATTTTATATTTAATGTGTTATTTTTGTTTTCAGGTTGAGCCATGCCGATCACTCCCAAAGAGAAGTCTCTTTGCGTCTTGGAATCTGCTCGCACACAGCCTGCAATGCAAAATTTGGAAACACTTCACCAACTGGCAAACAAATTTGGACTTGGTACCAAAAATTTAAAGAGGAAGACTTCTTATGTAGGGCTAAAGGATTACATACATGTGTGAGCATATTCCAAGACTTGACTTCGCTTTGGGAGTGAACGATGTGGCTCAATCTGAAAACAGAACAAAAATAAAATAAGATATTTAACAAAATGAAGTATAAAATCTTGGTCTGTTTCTATACATTCTGTGAAAATTTGAGTTTTTTTCAACAAGAATTGCCAAAATTATTGGCCTGTAAAATGATGTCAATTTTTTTGGGACACTCTGTACTGTATAACAACACTCTATTTAACACTGTATTTATTTATTATTTAATTTTTTTATTCTGTTTTAAATAATATAGGCCTATACTTTGTTGTGTTGCCATCTTGGCAGAGCAATCATGTGTTGGCGGTGCGATCCCAGCTCCCACAGATGAATGCTGTTGTTGTGTCCTTGGGCAAGACACTTTACCCCTCCTGCCCCCAGTGTCTGTGTACACTGGTGTGTGAATGTGTGTGTGAGTGCTTTGAAGGTGGAAAAATGTGGAACCACGCAGAGATATTGTTAAAGAGTAGATATTTTACTTCTATGAGGTATTAACTACTAACACATTTTTGATCACCACACTACTTTTTTTTTATTGTTTAATGATTTATTCAGTTTCAGTTTTGTTTTTGACTCACTCCCTCTTTTTGTGTAAAATAGGACCTTTTCAAAAATAAATATCAGAACTACAAACCTGGGAATCATCAAAATAAATATTATCTTATCTTTTTTTTAAATCTTTCTTTTATCTTTTCTCTGACAGCAGTACGAGGCTCCTCCGGTGGACGACGTCTCCAGTACCGTCCCGGAGGCTGACCCCGTGACCCTGTCCGTGCCCGATCACCGCCCTCACCAGAGGAGCCCGCTCACCCCACTCGCCCCCCCTCACGTCCCCCTGCCGACCCTGGACCTCAACGACAACGAGGACCTGCCCACGGAGCTCAGCGACTCGTCTGAGACGCACGACGAAGGTGAGAACGACACTACAGGTTGAGTCAGAGTTAGGACCTCAGACTGTATAAAGAAGAGGACTAACTCTGCGAGCGAGATCGACTCGTGGTCGCTCCATTGGTTCTGCAGCTTCCAGGAGCTCCGGCCTAGAAAGAGCTGTTTTGTTTTTCTGGCAATACATCACAAAAAGTATAATTTTCTTAGACTTGATTAAATTGCAGGCCTGTATATCAGTTCCAGTATCGGTATCTGCTGATATAGATTAGATTCTTTGATATTGGTCTATGTCGATACCTGCTGCTGATATTCAAAACCAATATTTTTTGCACTGTGCCACTCTTTTTGTGTGCCTTTTTTGAACAGATTAAAATGGAAACAGAACAGCGTTATATGACTGTATGTTTACGCAAACATGTAACTAATTATTTTATATCCCATATAAAAACTAGCCTGATTCATCAGCTGGTTTCACTTGACTTCACAGCATTAGGATTCGTTCGTTCAACGGTAGGCAGGTACTTTTTTTATTTAACCAATCACTGCTATTTGGTCGTGACGTATGCAATGCGCCGCTAACGGAGCTAACTGGTATATTAATCTTTTCCCAAATCCCGTAGGAAGGAGGACAATAACGTCCTTCCTGTCTTTTCTAAAAAAAAAATCACCAAACATTTTCTTTGTTCTGTCTTTAAATCCTCAATCTCAGGAATCGTTGCTAACACAGAATATATGGCTCTTCGCAGATTGGCTGGTGTCCCAACTCGCACTTCCAGGGTTCTTGCAAACAGTTTAGTGTATTCCGAATCCTGATCTAGTCACTGGAGAGAAATGAAATTGAGTGGAGGCATTTGGTGGAGCCAGCCTGGCTAGATAAAAACAGCTATTTTTACAAGAGTTTTTTCATGATTTACTTTAACTTGAGATAAATTTGTGGCTCTCGCTGTGGATTTTGGAAGCTAAACATCATGTCTAAAAATCCCAAATCGGCCCTTTCCTAATCCCAGTAGATTGTTGCCCCACAGTCCCAAAAACAGATTAGGAGCTGTGTTTATTTGGGCTGGTCTAAACATTCATATCTCACCGTCACTGCTGTGTTCCTGTGTGCAGGGGAGGTGCAGCCGTTCCATGAGGACCTGAGCGGACGCCAGTACATGAACTGCGTGTACCGACTGGGAGTGGACAAGATGTACGACCTCCTCTTCTCCGAGTCCGACTTCATGAGGGACTTTCTGGAGCGCAGGAGGTTCTCAGGTGAATCTGTGCTCTGATCGTGACTTCCACTGGTCTGACACTTATCTTAGTCTAATAGTTTTACAAGCAAAGGTGCAAAGACTAGATAGAATTTACTTACAAAATAGAGATTCTAGTGAAGGTGTTCGGAGTATAAAAACACAGTGGAGCACTTCCCACATTACCACATGACATCATAAGGTGAACCAGAGTGAAGATCTCAGCCTAAAATACATGTTTGTGTGTTAAACATGTGAAAGAATCAACTCAGCTCCAGATACATTATGTTTGTGATAAAGAAATAACATTATAACAGATCAGAAAATAGTGTTACTTCAGAATAATATTACAGGTACTCGAGTAGAAGTACAAAGTGTAGTGGTCAATGAAAAGAATAAATATTTCAGGAAATAACTGCTTAAAGTCACAGTATGCAACATTATCTAAAAATAGCACTTTTTGTTGGTTTTATTATACTGAACAAATGTAGAAAAACTTGCGTCCTTTACGGAAAAGTTGTTCCTTTGCCTGTAATCTTCCAACAGTATGGCATGAACCCTACTTAAAAGAGTTTTTGATTCCATTTAGATCAGCATATAATTGACATCACACTGAACAACTATTTTTTTAATGTTCCTACTATAAAAAAAGAAACTGGCCCGCAGAGCATTTAACTTCAAAGCTCCAAATGAATGGAACAACTTACCCTCCTCAATCCAATCAATTACATCATTCTACCATTTTAAGGCGTCAGTCTTCAGATATTTACAAACATCCTGCTCCTGTTTTTGATAAAAAATACATTTTTGTTCTGTATACTTTCTGTTGTACATAAAGTTGTTTTTTTTCTTCACTAATTTACAAATATAAGTGTGGGGATGATAAAACCAGACAGATGTCTGTATATTTTAGGATTCTGGATTGTATAGTATGAACGTTGTCTGTGTGTTGTTTGTCTTTTGTTCTGTTTTGATTTGTTTTTTCTTTCTTTTCTGTAAATGCTAGGTTTGTTCATGTATTTAGGAACCCTTCACAAACAAGTTGCTACATCTCAAGGGGTTTCCCTTATACATAAATAAATAAATAAATTAAATAGATAAATGAATAAAGCATTCCTATTTCTATGAAAAAGGTTCTGAACTATGGTTTTAACTTTCTGTTTTCATGAAATTATCCAGATGATTTGACATCTCCAGGAAGTATTGTAAAAGCAACTGTCTGAACATCTGAACATCTGATGTATAATATGTTATATAAGTTATTGTGACCAGAAGGACAAAACCTTAAATAATGCACAAAATATGTTATTTTCAAACGATAAAGACAAAAATGAGAAAAACTCTCTACACAAATGTTTGAGTCATGTCATGTTGGAAAAATTATCATAAAAAATAGGGATGTAACAATATCCAAATCTCACGGTACAATATTTTCACGATATACATCTCCCTGTACAGTATTTATTTTACGTTTTTCTCTTAAAATGCCTCGACAAGACTTAATTCAAAGAACTAAGATTTAAAAATGCTTAGAACTGCTATGGTTTCATTTAGTTTGCACCAAAACGCAGCAAAGGATCATGGTCAATGTAGTTCCCTCTGTTATTTTAACTAATGCTGCACCAAAACAATAAATTTAAGCAAAGAAACTTGTGATTCGATATATTGTGACAGCACACGATATTATTGAGAGACTTTTGACGATACGATATTGTTACATCACTATAAAAAAATTAAGCTTTTGTCACTTGTAGACATACATTGACCAAAGTAAGTAAGAGCACTGTTACACTTCACTGCAGTCCAAAAACTACTTAGAGAACTACAGTTTCTTTAAAAGTTTACTTGGGTAAATATAACTGAGTACTAACCACCTCTGGACACAATAACATAAGAACAAAAATGTAATTAACACAACATGGTAGAACAAGGACAGACTCATGCAGTGCTAAACAAATTAACACAATGATTTATTTACTGCACAACAGACACTGTGTTTTAATTCAGTCAAGTCATTTAGTCTAGAACTGTTGTGGATTTGACTTCCTTATGTGAATGATTTTCTGTTCCAGATGTGGTGCACCGGCCGTGGAGGAAAGATCCAGATGGAAACCAGACCAGAGAGCTCATGTACAGCATCGTCCTCAACAACCCTCTGGTCCCGAAGGCTGCCACGGTCACTGAGACACAGGTGGGCACCGGCTTTGCCAGTCAGCAGATAAATCCTCTGGCTCTTTTGTGATTTTTTTTTTTAAAGAACTCATATTGTGCAAAATTTATGTTTGTCATCTACATCAAAAACAAACCCCTAGTTGTATTTTTCTTCATTCTTCATGCTTGTTCTGTTAATCAATAAATCCAAAGTTGTCTTCTCTAAGCACTCAAAAGGCTTTGTATGTGTGCTTAGCCAGTTTTGTTGTGTCACAAATCAAACTCCAAATTTCCGTATTTTTCGGACTAGAAGTTGCTCCGGAGTATAAGTTACACCAGCCAATAAATGTGTAATGAAGAAGAACAAAACATATAACATATATAAGTCACACTTTTTGGGGAAATGTATTTTCTAAAACCAGAGACCAGGAACCGACATTTCATCTTGAAAGTCAAGTTCTAGTAGCAACAACAGAAAGGAGAGCAGCAGGCTGAATAGGTGTTAATATGTTAACGTAACATATGAACAGTTATTCAGATAATTCTCACATAAACAACAGAACATAAGTTTACCAAACTCTGCATTTCACTTCAAATCAATAAATCCATTGAATTCTTCATCCTCTGTGTCACTTCTGTACAATCTCTGGAGGTAAACCGTAGATCCATGAGGTAAACCGAGCGCCGCTTCCTCTTCTGTGTAGCTGTTGTCAGACTCAGCATCAGTTCCAGTTAGAATTATACTGGCCTTTCTGAATCCCGACAGGATGGTTTCAGTCCAGGCTTTGTCGATCCATCCAGTGACTTCCAGGAAAGTTGTATGGTGCACCCTCCTGTTTACCGTGAAGCTTTGTTCTCCATCCCCACTTTCCTCCAGTCCCTCACAAAGTTTCTCGCTCACTTCAAACTTTCTTTCTGCTGCTCGATTACTGTTTTCAGCTGCATATTTCACTACTTGCAGCAAGGACAGCGGCTTTTTCTGCAGGAGACATGTGCAGTACAGTAGAAGTGACAGAGGTACAGGAGTAATAATAGGAGCAGTAGATGACACACAAGTCTAGTGCGCCCTCTCGCGGCTGTCAGTGTGTTTAATATATAAGTCGCACCGGAGTATAAGTCGCAGGAAACACCCAAACCATGAAAAAAAACTGCGACTTATGTGCACATGGCTCACATGGCTTAGTTGTCAAAACATCATTTTAGGTTAGAAAATGTGAAATTATTCCAAGGTGACCAAAAGCATGTTTACAATGTCATTTTAGTCAGAATGTAAAATATGTGTTCTTTAAATTTACTGTAAGTAAAGTGTGGACGTGACTGACTTCTCTTGTGTTTGTCCAGACTCTGTACAAAGGCAGTCAGGAGAACGAGTGCTACGTGATCGACACCGAGGTGAACGCTCACGACGTCCCGTATCACGATTACTTCTACACCGTGAACCGCTACGTCCTCACACGAGTGGCCAAGAACAAGTGTCGCCTCAGGTCTGTGCTAAAACGACTCGATGATGATGATGGGTCTTTGTTTGTCCTTTGATCTGAATACAAACAGTCTATAAACCTAGTGTAAACATTGTTGGTAAAGCAGTCAGACCCACTGATCCACTAGTTGGTGCTACAATTCCATGTTTGTCACCATAAAAACCGAGAGTATATTTTAATCCACATTAGAACATGTGATGTGTAGATTAGTCTGCACGTTAAATGTTCTTAAATATGCACTTACAGGGGCTTTAAACTATTTGGGTACCATGTTTTTGGTATTTTCATCTGTGTAATGTATATGTTAGGACATAACCTCAGAACATCTGTCCTGGTGTAGTTCATGTCCATTGCGTAGTTTTATATTTTAATGTATCTATGACGTAAGTAAAGTAATCTGCTTCTTTGGTAATGTTCAGTCTCACTGTGTCTCACTTAAAGCCCGATAGTCGATGATTTGGAGCAGGTGACAACTTTTTGTCATAGAAAATACATTTCTAGTTATTACCTGTGATTGAGCAAAGTCACATATTGATGGCAATTACAGGAATTATTCTAATCGATCGCCAAATTTGTGGTGTTGAGAAAAAAAACCTGAATATTATAGGTGCTATACTGTTAAAGGGGCCAATATACTGGTCCAATTTGTGGAGAGGTGGGCTCGCTTACAGTATGCATATATTTCAAGGTTTTGTTTTATTGCCAAAAAAAAAAAAAACTATAATGAAATAATAATCAACTTTAATGCAATACTGTGGTACATTCTAGAGAAGGCACTCTCCGTAGCATATCTCCATAGACACATACACATACATAGTGCATTTTTTATGTTAATAGTGGGAGCATGGAAACCAGTAAATCAACAGGACTGGAACATGTGATGTGCACGTTTCCTGCTGTACATTTCAGACCTGTTGAACCTCCTGTTGAACTGTACTGACCCGGTGCTCTTGTGTGGTTCCTCAGGGTGTCCACAGAGCTGCGCTACAGGAAACAGCCGTGGGGCCTGGTCAAGACCTTCATCGAGAGAAGCTTCAGGAGCGGCCTGGACGAGTACTTCAGACACTTGGGTCAGCTGACTTATTTTAAGAAATAAATAATGCTAAATCTCAAAAACACAGCTGTAGATGAGTCTGCACTTTTAAACTATTTGGGTACCATGTTCTTTCCATCTGTGTAATCTCCAGCAGATGGTGTTATTGCTGCATCTGCTGATACAGGGAATAATCAAGCAATTTATAACTTTTTTATTTGGGATCTTTCTAAGAAGACCTATTGTGTGTGTTTCTGCTAAATAGTTATAATCTATGACACCCATATATCATTATGTTATAATTTGGACTTTGGAATTTGGATTTTAAACCATAATATTGATGAAAAACTATGTAATAAAAACAAATAGAAACAAGGCCACTGACTTCCCCAGTAGAAAACTGTAGTGTCCTGTGGTCAGCATCTCCAAGGCTGCAGATTTTGCTAGATTTGTACCAAAATGACTAAACGAAGTTGCCAATTAAGAAAAAAAACTGGAGAACGATGTTGGTACAGAGCAGTGGGTGTTTGCTGGTGGCGGTGAAAACAAGAGTTGATTGGCAAAATGGCCCCTTGAAAATAATTGATCCAAGAATTTTAGAAAGTAAATTTTGCATAATAGTTTAGAAAGACTAAACCACATTTCAAGTGATTAAAAGAACATCAACAAACAATAAATTTGTGAATATTACTACAACTTCTCTACAGGTCTTACCATAGATTTGAAACTATGTATACTGACAAATATTATATGTTGCATTGACTGAAAAAAATCCATCTATCCCTGACATACAGAGTTTTAAAGGTGCATTGTGCAACTTTTCTCGTGGAGAATTTGTTGCCTGCTCGTGTTCATCGAGATGATTTTGCTTTGTCTGAAATGTTCCATGGTTTAAACCTTTTAATCTCTCTCAAGGGAGGCAACTATAGGCTACATTACAGGTCAGATCTGTGCAGAGGCAACACTATTCACAGAGAGAATTATTGTATTTTTGAGCAACAGAAACACCTGCAATGAATAAATATTAGATAGATGTGTTTAACCATGGAACCTGTCAAAGCAATAACAACTCCATGAAGACAAGCAGGTGACGGACCCTCCACCAGAAAAGTCACACAGCGCACCTTTAAGTGCAAAACATGGAATACCAAAAGTACAACATCACGCAGATTTTGTCCCCTTTAATCATTACATAACCGGTCGTTTGTTGTCCGAGAACAATGCCCTGACTCCTGCCCCCCGCTGTGCGCAGAGCTGGAGCTGAACAAACTGGAGCTGCTCCTGCTGGACGCCCACTCGCCCTCGTCCCCGGGCAAAGGCATGAGGAGCGGGCGCAGGCGGAGACGCACCTTCTCCCACCACCTGAGGCCCGCCGGCAGCGTGGACCGAGCCATGGGGGCAGTGACCACGCCAGAGGAGGAGGACGAAGATATGCACCTCATAAAGCACGTGGCAGGTACGAGAACCTCACCTAACATCACTGTAGTTTAAAGCTGCACTGTGTACTTTTTTCTGGTGGAGGGTACGTCACCTGCTTGTTTGCTCTGCCTGGAATGTTCCACAGTATGACATTAAACATCTCCACCTTACATTTATTCAACTACAGGTGGTTTTATAGCTTAAAACACCTAGAAAATCTGGCATTCTGACTTATCTGACCTGTAATTTGGTCCGATTACGTTTTCATGAAGATAGAAAAACAATAACATTTCCTTGGAGAACAATATTTGATGGACCCTCCACTGAAAAGTTACACAATGCACCTTTAAAGGTCCTGTGTTATGTTATTATTATTATTATGTTATTTTCTGATCTACTGTATGTTATAATGCTGTTTCCTCCACAAAAACAGACCTGGAGTTGTGTTTTGTTTCATTCACATGTTTGAGTAATCCTTTATTATTAGTCTGTCTACATCTCCAAAGCTCAAAATGCTCTGTTCCACCTTGTGATGTCATCAAGCTGTAGTTTTCAAGTTAACGGCTAAATTTGACCTTTTGTTTAGTAGAAATTGGCAATTTCAGGGCTGAATGATTCTACTGAAGGTGTGTGGAGTTTAAAATACTTTGGAGGACTTCCTGCAGAGGTGGGGACTTACAAATCATGACTTGATCTTGAGTCAGACTGGAGTCAATATTTTTCAGACTAAGACTTGGACTTGAGGACTGTGGCTTTAGAAGATGTGAGAAGCACTTTTAAATCTGAATTCTTTCTATTCTGATGGTAATGATTCACATTAAGATCTTGTCAAGACATTTAAAAAGGAAAAAAATGAATTTCTACAACTTTTACATACTCGATAAATACTCATATATAAATATACTATGAGTTTATAAGTACAGTTTATCTTAAAAGTCATATAAATTGCAAAAATCTCAGCGACTTGGACTTGACTTGGACTTATGAGCCAGTGACTCGAGATTTGAGTTGGCCTTGCCTGTATTTGACTCCACGATATGGTCAAGACATTTAAAAAGGAAAAATATGCATTTCTACAACTCTTATAAAATCTATAAATACTCATATATAAATATACCATGAGTTTATAAGTACAATTTATCTTAAAGGTCATTTAATAACAAAAATCTAAGCTATATTTTGTACTTTGGTTTAAAGACTTGAAATGACTTGAAGCTCAAAGCAGATGACTTGGACCTGACTTGGACTTATGGGCCACTGACTCGAGACTTGACTTGGACTTGCCTGTATTTGACTTGGGACTTGACTCGGACTTGAGGTCAAAGACTTGAGACTTACTTGAGACTTGCAAAACGATGACTTGGTCCCACCTCTGACTTCATGTATCACCCCATGACATCACAAGGTGGAACAGAGTGTTTTCTGTTTGAGAGAAGAACTCAGCCTAAATATGTAACTGTGTGTTAAACATGTGAATGAAACAAAACACAACTTCAGGTCTGTTTTTGACAAAGAAACAACATTATAACATCAGAAAATAGCGTTGTATAGGCCCTTTATTGACACTTTTCAGATTGTTGTGACCTCAGTGTTTTCAGGATTATGTTATATTGATACAAATCAGTAGTTGAAGTCAGAAGATGCAGGTTTTGTGTCTAATATGAGTTTGTTTTGCAGGTTCCACTCAGACCAGACACCTCTCGGACTCTACAGGAGGCCTGGCACTTTACAGCTTCTCCAAAATCTTACTTTTTATAAGCCTTGTGTAAGTGCTGGTTCAGTGCTAAAGGTTAACTCTCTTATCTGAAAGTTATAAAAGGTTAAAGGTTTTCACTTTTTGGTTGGGGGTCATTGCTCTGCCTAGAATGTCCCACAGTATGACATTAAACATCTCAACCTTACATTTATTAAATTACAGGTGGTTTTATTGCTCAAAATACCTTGAAAAACATTAATTCTGACTTTGAGCGGGTTGTCTCTCCACAGATCTGACCTGATAGAAAGGTTTCATACCATACTGTGAAACATTTTAGATAAAGCACCTCCGTGGAGAAAATTATTTGACGGACCCTCCCCCAGAAAAGTTACACAATGCACCTTTTAAAAATCCCAGATCATAAACAGTGTATGTTTATGTCAGACTGTAATTAGTCTTAGGAACAATGCAAAATCACCTGGACTTTTTGTGTAATTTTAGTTTCAGTTTAAAGCTGGGGTATCTGATTTTCACACCACAGAATGAGAAAGAATTTAAATCTGTCACATGGATTAAACACTAAACTAAACACTACATTATTTTTTGTTCTCTATGAAACTATGTATATGGTGTTTTATGGCAAACTAGGTAAATATGCAGCTTTTTGGTTTAAAATAAATAATAAATAAATAAAAATAGTGTAGACTGCCTGTAATGACAAAAAAATTCAAGTACTACATGACATCACACACACTGCTTGGCCAAAATGTAAGATATAAACACTTTAAATCTATCCGAAAATGCCTTAAAGATAGTGAAATGATCTGTCCATGCAGCAAGATAATTTTACTTGACAAGTTATCTTAAAATAAACGACCTCTAGACGAGAATTACGCAGTGTCTGGTAAGTGTTTATGGGCTGGAAATAAGTTTATGGATACTAAGTTTTTAGATAAACATTCTTGAGTATCAAGCAAATCTGTATCACTGAAGTTAAAAATAAGTTAAGTGTTGCAGGGGAAAACTGGTAAACGGACTGTAGCTTCTTTTAAACATTTATTGCGTAAATTTAAGATTTCTAACTAGTCATGGTAGAAATAAAAGTGACAATTTTTAAGATTATACAAACAATTCAGAACTAGTAAGTAGATAATAAATCTGAAAACAAGATGAATAACCCGATATAAGTTTTAAAATCTTGGTCAGACCAGAGAAATTTGCTGTGCCCAACTTTTGTGATTAGGCAAGGCAAGTTTATTTGTATAGCACAATTCGTACACAAAGTAATTCAAAGTGCTTTGCAGAATAAGAAATACAGTAAAGTCACAATAAAAACAAATCAAAACATAAATAATCATCATAAAATTAAGAGAGAGAGACATTAAATTAGAGAGAAGAGTGCGGCCTAAAAATCTTTCAGTCATATGCAGATAAACAGAACAAACGGCTAAACAACCAGGTTTTTCTGTTACAAACGCCTCGCTGCAGGAGTGGAGTTTGAAGTGTGGATACCTGTTCCATCAATCACACTGTTCCGTATACCACCAGACTCCACCCCTACTCACTGTCCCTTTTATGCTGCGTTTTATTATTTTCTGCAAACCCACTCGGATCTCGGATATGATCACATCCACACTTCAAGCGTTTTATTATGTTTCGTGCGTTCCGACTTGGAGAAAAATGTGGACGTCACCCGGAAAGCTGTTACTGTTGTCGTTTATCTTCTGTTAGCGACCCTAGGGATGTTTAGAACCCGTTTAAAACAAGTCTTTCTTCAATATTATTATCCCTCTCAGGCTCAAATTAATTTTTAGTATCAGGAAAAATCTGATATTTGGGGAAAATTATCATATAGTTAGTAATATACAATCCTGACTTTTTTATCCTTTATAAACAAAAAAAGTATTTTCCACTTCTGGCAGGCCATTCTTGCACAGTCTGCATCGTCCACATTTATCAGCATGGATGGGAAAAAAGGCTCTTGAGTAAAAAAAAGCTCATAAAATATGGATGTGGAGTAAGTAATTGGAATTTGGCTGTTGTAAATCTGCAACACCTGCCTGGAGAGCTTCATAATATCAATCACCGCAACACAGGCCACCACACCCATAGGCAGTGATACGGGCTCAGTAAAGTATTGCAATAATGAGTGATTGAAATTGTCATTTAAACCACCAAAGCGTCCAAACACAATGAAAACACTTCATACTTAAAAGTGACACTGCACTCAGCCATCTTGAATTCTGTCTCAGAGTCCTTGCTCGGTCTCCTGTTAGCTCTTCTGTGTTCCAAGTTCTTCCAAATTCCGAGTTCCGCCAGCCGAGAAAAAGGGGTGTGTCAGTGTGTGCCACTAGGCAACGTCTTCGGACTTCTAAGATGGATGGTTAATAAGACCCCGTCCACACTAGTACGTATTCCAGTTGTTTTCGTTGAGGATGCAGTGTTCGTCCACACTTATCCGATGGAAAATGGCTCCAGATCTAGTGCTGCCAGCTCCCACCCATTCACCTGAGTACAGATCTGATCCGGCACTGTGTGGACACCTGAAAACGCTGATACACTGATGTAGGTCTATGTGCCTCGAAGTAATTCACCACCAAAACGCTAAGAGGCTAGAATATATGTCCATTCATATATACGGTCTGTGTGTGTGACCTGCAGACGTATAATCTCTGAAAAGTTTCGCATGAACCATCTCCAACAAAACAGAAGCACAGAACAGACTCACCACCATCAGCACATCCTCTGTCACAGAAAGACACTCATCTTCCACTGAGTCGTGTCCTTTAGTCCGACAGAAGCTGAACCGCATCAGCGCACAAGGAAAGAGCTGTTTTTTGAGCTCTTAGTTTATGCAATTTACCCATGTGGTTTTAAGTTTAATTTCTGTAAAACGTAAACAAATATGTTCAAAGCTGTGTGGAGAGGGAAGGCTTGTGGACACAGAAACGGCTTGTGTGGACACAGATTGTTTCCGATACGGTGATACGGTGATAAGCGGATTCTTTTCAGTGTAAATGTAGTCTAAAACACACAGTTAGTCCTCCATGTACTTCCCAGTTTAGTAGCTCTGTTTGAAATTACTGTATTATTAGTTACAGTGCACAGTGGGCTCATGTTGTCAAAAACTTCTGCTTTTACCCTGTGCTCTTTGTGGGAAAACACAAAATTCAGGTACCCCAGCTTTAAGTATTATTTTAATTGTTTGCATTAGACTTTATATTATTTGTATGATTTCTTTCAGTCTAATTTTGCCTGTCTTTATTTTTTCTGCATCCAATAGGATCTGTATAAGGTACTTTGCTAAAACCTGGCTCCTGATTCTGTGTTGTTTAGTACCTGCTGTATTTCTACGGGCCTGTATTGAAGTAAATGTGTTTTCTTGTATTGCAGCTTAATTTTGCTGATATTTCTTCACTTGATGCTGTTCTATAAACTGTGGATGCTGGAATACACCACCTCAAGTCTGACAACGTCCCACGGGCTGAGGCCGCAGGAGAGGTAACCATGGCAACGCTTTACACAGTTAAAAGAAAACTGTACTTTTACTTGTTTACCTAAAGTGTTCCACAGTATGGCATTAAATATCTGCCCAACATGTATTCCACTACAGGTGTTTTATTGCTCAAAAATGCCTTGAAGAATTCTTGTGGGGACACATCTCCACAGATCTGACTTGTATCTTGGCCTGGTGATATCTGTGGCTCTTGAGTTCAATTGCTTAATGTCATATGGTGGAACATTCTAGGTCAAGAAAGCACATCTCCATGAAGACGAGCAAGTTGCAGACTCTCCATCAGAAACACAGTTCACTTTTTAGACGTTTGTATCCAAAGCCAGATTCATGTCAAGCACATTGTATTTTTCTCTATATAAAAAAAAGATACTGTATTTTTGGACTGTAAGTCTCTCTGGAGTATAAGTCCACCAGCCAAAAAATGCGGAATGAAGAAGAAAAAATATAAGCCGCACTTTTTGAACAGAATATAGAACAGAGAACAACAGGCTGTTAACGTCACATATGAACAGTTCTTAAGATAAACTATAGCATAAACAACACAACAGAACAGAACCAAACTCTCCATCTCACTCCAAATCACTAAATCCATTCAATTCTTCATCCTCTGTGTCACTTCTGAGCAACTCTGCGACCTCCAGAGGTAAATGGAGCGCTGCTTCCTCTGCAGCTACGCAGACAGCATCAGTTTCAGTTAGAATTATTCTGGCCTTTCTGAATCTTGACAGGATGGTTTTGGTTGTCACTGAAGTCCAGGCTTTGTCCATCCATCCAGTGACTTCTAGGAAATTTGCATGGTGCACCCTCCCGGTTACCGTGGAGCTGTGTTCTCCATCCCCACTTTCCTCCAGTCCCTCACAAGTTTCTCGCTCACTCCAAACTTTCTTTCTGCTGCTTGATTCCTGTTTTCGGCTGAATATTTCACTACTTGCAGCAGGACAGCAGCTCTTTGTGCAGGAGACATGCGCAGTAGAGTGAAGTGACAGTGGTACATGAGTAACAGGAGCAGCAGATGCTTAGAGCCTCTTGAGTTTGTCAGTACGAAAATTTTAATATTATAAGTCACACCGGAGTATAAGTCACAGGAAACACCCACACCATGAAAAAAGTGCGACTTATAGTGCGAAAAATATGGTAATCTTAGTTTTGTGTGCCTATTAAATATTCTTTTGTAAATACTCTGACTCTCCTAACTCCTTGGTAACCTGTGGAGGTCTATAAACACCTATGTAATGGAACATTAGGTGAGCTCAGAGTTAAACACAGACAGTACAGTATAGCTTTTTTCCACTGCAGTTCATGTGTAGACCTGATGTATGATGTTAAGACTCCTCCACTCTGCTTTATAAAGACTGACATACACCAAAGTAGAGCTGGGTATCAGTAACATACATAGCCCACCATACGATATGCTTTTCGATACAGTGCATTTTCAATCCACTATGATTTGATACAATATATTTCAAATCGATTCAGTACGGTTCAGTGAAAAACAAAGCCTAAATCATGGCTGTGATGCTAAAAGTCTACAAAGTCTACCAAGTTTGTGCAAAGTTAATCTGAAGAACACCCATTTTACTTATCAAAACAGTGAAAATGTCAACACAATTGTAGCTCTTACACAAAATAAAGTCAAATATACCTAAAAATAGTTATATCGACACAGCTGCCCACGATATTGATACTGTATCATCAAATTAAACAATACAATATTTCAATACTTCAATATTTTTGCACTCTACTACAACAAAGATATCGTTATAATCCACGACACCCATGGATCATTATGTTATAAAGTTTACATTTTAAATCACAATAGTCATCTAAAACGAGACTTAATAAAAAAATATTCTGCAGACTACCAGTTTAGAAAGCACAGATACAGAGTTTAAAACCAAATGTTAGGTTTATTAAAGCTCTTAAAGCTCCTAATACCTCATTGGGCAACAATTTGTAGATTTTATTAAGTCATTTTAGTTGAAATATGACATAATGATCCATGGGTGTCATAGATTATAACTATTGCATGGAAAAGCACGATATGTCTTCTTTAAAATGGAGTTGTATACTGAAGTGTTTCTTGTTGTGTCTCTTCAGTAAAGCCCCACAGACTCAGATGGAGTGGGTGCAGCTCTTGGACTCTCAGCAGCGTTTTCACGACACCGAGCTGCACAAGTGGAAGGAGATCATCAAGTCCTCTGTGATACTGCTGGACCAGGTGAGACACGGGACACGTCAAATTGAAAGGTGCTCTATGTAACTTTTGAACTTTCTGTACCTCATATTTTTCTTACATTTATACAAAGACATTGAAAAAACATGCATGATGGTGAGAGAGTGGGAGATAAAATTCTAATTTGGCTTAGGAGAATCAAGAGAGGTCAGCTTGGAGTGAGGCTGATCTGTGTGTCATTCGTTTATTTGTTTTTCAAAATAAAACCAAAAATAAGAAATAGAAAAAACAACAATTTTCTTCATTATTTGTCTCCAAAACCAAAATGAAAAAAAAACAAAACTGATAACGATTCTTTTTTTTTTTTTTTTTTTTTTTTTTTTTTTCAGTTTTTGCTTTTGTGTTAAATGAATAATGGAAAAAACGGATAACAGGCGTTTCCTGTTTCCGTGAATTAAACTGCGATGCCGGACTTTTGCGAAACATACAGACTAAACCAGCACTGAACCAGGACTAAACCGATCTCAGTCCTTGTCTGAGTCCTGGTCTTGGTCCCGGTCTGGTCCCATTTTCCCGATCACCCGACAGTCTATGCGGGCGCACGTCCGGGCCCGTCCTGACACACACTGGTTCACTTCTGATTTAGTCCTAGTTTTGAGACTGAGACCGGGACCAGACCAGGACTGAGACTAATTTAGTCCTGGTTCAGTCCTGGTTCAGTCTGTATGTAACAGTCTGCATGTAAAAGTCCGGCATTACAGTTTAAGTCACGGAAATAGAAAATGGCCATTATCTATTTTTTGCATTATTCATTTAAACACAAAATCGAAAACTGAAAAACAAATCATTATCTGTTTTTTTCATTTTGGTTTTGGAGACAAATAATGGAAGAAAATAGTTGTTTTCTTGTTTTGTTATTTTTGGTTTTATTTTGAATAAACGAATGATACATGGATTGAGGCTGCACTTGTTCATTTTTGTTTGTCTCTTCAGTTATTTTTAGCTAAGACCGGGGCATCTTTTCTTTGTTCGATTTTTCTACCTTAATTGTGTAAGTAAATTTACTTTTGAGCACCGACCTCTTGCCCTGTCTTTCTGGTTTTCCAGTGCTGACCATTACAATCATCTCACTGAAAGCATTCAGGATTTATCGACCTATATGTCGAAGCGAACAGAAGAACAAGCCAAAAAATCGAACTTTAGTTAAATTCAGTTCAATCCAGAAAGAAACAAAGACATCTTCCCTATCCACAAAGCATTTGTGAACTCAAATATCACAAGAATTCATCTTGATGCGTAAAAAACTCTGATATTAGAGTCTGTATTGGCGTGCTCTTTAAAAATATCAAACACTAAACTTGTGGAGTTTAAACACGTTGCTCAGTCACAGTGGAATGGGGAACAGCAGTGACCAGGATCCTCTGAGTCAGTGCAGCCGACATTAATAAATGAAGGTCGTAATATAAACACAGTTAAAACAGAAACTTGATAATCCTAAATATCTGATTTAGAGACTGTTTCCTCTAAACTCAAAGCAGCACGGCCCGCTGCCCTCCTCTATCCCCACTGCCCCACGCTGCTGTAAACAAGGAGCCAGAGTTGGACTTTTATGGAAGTCTGAGCCGGTTCCTGCTTAAACAAACATGGAAAGACTGATGTGGTGAGAGAACGGTGGCTTTATTCTCCATTTATTGTCAAATGAACTGTGACAGGCACAAGGCCACTCCAGGACATTAGATACAAGCATAACACAGGAATAGAGCTGAAACATTTGTGAAGAATATACAGTTTAGATTTTTCTGACAAGCATTACGATTTGCTCTTTATTTTTTTAATTAATAGGATTCTGTTCAAAGTTCACATTTTAAACACGTCCACAAGAATTGACAAAAAGAAAAATGAGCTGTGTTCTGCTGAGGGTGTTGAGAGCTTTCACAAAGATCAGATTTTGGAGAAATTATTTAGTTTTTTCACAACATTAACTTTATTTATTTTTAATTCTCAACGTGTCTAAAAGTTAGCTATGTAAGATTTGGCCTGCCTCTGCTCTGAGACTGCGCTGTCACTCTGATTGGTCAGAACTGATCACACGGTGCCCGTTTCTGTCGTCACACCGTGGGCATCGTGGTATTGAGGAAGTAATGCAGAGGAGAAAATCATTTGTGGCCACATGCGCCAGTGAGCCTGCCTGAGTTAATGAAACCAATACGTCGTCATCTTTGGTTCATTTTTCAGATGTTATTACACTTCCATGAGTAAAACTAACAACAACTAGCATGTTAACCGCACGCTTCCATCTCAGACAATTAAAGGCTTTAGAATTAGGTCCTTACAGTTTTTCATTCTCATTATGGTTTATTTTCAACAATCATAAACAATAAACTTTTATGCCTTTGTTAACGTTACTGTTAGTTTGTATGACCATAAACGAAAATAACAAAAAAATCAAAGCAGCCATCTTTAAAAAATAAATAAAAATGAAGATAAGAACTAAGAAAAAAAGTGATTGTATTTCTGTTAGAGGGGTTAGTTTATGGAACAGCCTGAGAGATGATTGTTTAGTGTTTAGATATAAAGCTCTAGAATGAATGAATTATGCATTAAATTTGGTTTGTTTTAACTCATGTTTTGTCTCTTATATGTACAGATGCAAACTTGTTTATGCGCTGCTATCTTTTCTTTCTTGGAGTTCTGTTATTGTTTAATAGGGTTTGGTACTTTCGCTTTAACTTGGACTCTTTCTGTCATGATCCATGTAGTTGTTGTCTGTTTTGTTTTTGTTTTGTAGTGCTGCAAAATGCCAATTTGTGCCTCCGCTCAGTTTCATTTCTCTCCAGCGACTAGGTCAGGAATCAGAATACACAAAAACCCCGGAAGTGCAAGTTCGAGCACCAGCCAGTCAGCGAAGAGCCATACATTCTGTGTTGTTAACAGTCCCCGAGATCGAGGATTTAAAGCCGGAACAAAGAGAATGTTCGGTGAATTTTATCAAGGGGAAAGACGTTTTTGCCCTTCTTCCTACAGGATTTGGGAAAAGCTTAATATACCAGTTAGCCCTTTTAGTGGTGCATTACATATTACATACGTCACGACCAAATAGCAGCGATTGGTTAAATGATAAAAAGTACCCGCCTACCGTAGAGCAAACAAATTCTAACACTGCAAGGTCAGACGGTTTCTACGAAGTGAAACCAGCTGATGAATTAGGCTACTGCAAAATGATCCAATAAATAAATTAAACACGAGAATGCTTGCGGGTAAAAACAACAAAATATTTTATCAGAAGTGTCTTTCGTTTAGACGGTGACTGCGTTTTTGGAACTTAAAAACACAAAAATCTGAAACCACCCTGCAGAGTGGAAAAGTTGAATACTCTTCGTTGTAGTGTTTCCGTCTACACTGCCCAAGACGCAAAACTCTGGTCAGATCTGCTCACGTCAGGTACGCGTTTACGTCACATACGTCACCACCAGCTGCCTGGCATGCATACCCAATCGAATTCCACACACTTTTGCGTCACCGTATGCACACAGATTTCCTCCCGAAAACGCTCGTCTAAACGCGGAATAAAAAGTGAAGATGCTGCTCCACTTTTGCGTCTTCTGTTCAGACCGTCATCATATAAACGTAGCTTCAGATAAAGACAAAGCACTGCAGACTTATTAAGTGAAATACATTGAAATCTGGTACAGTTTCTTTCACTTCAACTCTTCAGTGTATCATGATTTTCCTCTTTTGTGTCTCCTCCAGCTCAGAGATTCCCTGGTGACCCTCCACAAAAACATGGGCTTCAGGGACTCCTCCTCTTCCCAATCCCAGAAGAAAGCGCAGTACCCCCACTGACCCATAGGCGGACAAAACTACATGTGCAATATCCTCCAAAACTCCGCCTCCTCCTCTGATCCAGACCAGGTTTTTCAAACAACCAACAACTCAAGTGACCTCCAACCGTCTGGACATCCGCCGCAAAAATCTCTCCTCGCTGTTTTTATTTCTGATATTAACATGCTGCGTAAGTTAATATTCAAACCATAAGAATCTATTTTAGCACTGCAAAAACAACGCATTTTTCCCTTTTTTTGGGGAATCCTATAAACTGGAAACCACGCTAACTATAACAGGCTAGCAGTATTTGTAAAAAAATTAATAAAAAACAGACACTTAGCATCAGGGCTAACTCTTTAACAGGACATATGCAGTGAATCAGGGCGGGTCTCTGAAAACCGTGCTTTACATTTCTGTGCGTTTTTTGTTTTTCACATCTTTAATGTGTGGTTAAAGGGGACGTATTACGCAGAGGTTTAACTTGACAGAAGGTTTTTATCAGGTTTTACTCATCAAAAACATCCGAGTTAAGTCGTTTTTTGCTTCCTTGACTCCTTTTACTTACTTTTATTAGACTTAGACTTGCACTTAGACAAACTTTATTGATCCACAAGGGAAATTATTTGGACAGCTGACTGACTTAAAACAGCAATTTGAGTCATTATGTAAATTATTGAACCCGGGGAAGTGCACCTCTGTTTTTAAAGTCCATAGCTTTTCACTACTAGATTAATAAAAAATTGGTAATCACAATCTTACGATAAAAATCAATCAATCAAACTTCAAATTGCCCTTTTCCATGTTGTGATGTCATAAAGCGGTAGTTTCCAAGTACCATATTTTTCGGACTATAGGTCGCTCCGGAGTATAAGTCACACCAGCCAAAAAAATGTGTAATGAAGAAGAAAAAAACATAGACAAGTCGCACTTTTTAGGGGGAAATTTACCAAGAAGCAACATTTCATCTTGAACAACAGACTGTTAACGTCACATATGAACAGTTCTTCAGATAAACTATAACAAAAACAACAGAACAGAACAAGTTTACCAAACTCTCCATCTCACTCCAAATCACTAAATCCATCGAATTCTTCATCCTCAGTGTCACTTCTGAGCAACTTCATGACCTCCAGAGGTAAATGGAGCACCACTTGTTCTGTGTCGCTGTCGTCAGACTCAGCATCAGTTCCAGTTAGAATTATTCCGGCCTTTCTGAATCCCGACAGGATGTTTCGGTGTCACTGAAGTCCAGGCTTTGTCCATCCATCCAGTGACTTCCTGGAAAGTTGCATGACGCACCCTCCTGGATGTCACACATTTCTCACTCACTCCAAACTTTCTTTCTGCTGCTCGATTACCTTTTTCAGCTGCATATTTCACGACTTGCAGCTTGTAATCTGCGAAATGTGATTTTCTTTTTGGTGACATTTGTGTTCAGTCGTCTTTATAAGTTTGTTTACTTCTGCACCACTGAAAATTTTAAATGTAATGGAGTGATCGACAGACAGGACAGAGGCTCTTTCTGCAGGAGACATGCGCAGTAGAGTGAAGTGACAGCAATACAGGAGGAACAGGAGCAGCAGATACTCACACTCAAAACTAGAGCGCCCTCTAATGGCGTCAGTGTGAACATTTTCATATACAAGTCGCACCGGAGTATAAGTCGCAGGAAACACCTAAACCATGAAAATAAGTCTGACTTATAATTCCAATTTCTACTAAACTAAATGTACTGTATTTTTTGGACTATAAGTCTTTTATATTAAACGTGTGAATGAAATAAACACAAATCCAGGTCTGTTTTTGATGAGCAAACAACATTATAACACGGATCAGAAATGGAGTAATAAGGGCCTTTTAAAGAGAAAAATGCATAATACGTCTCTTTTAAGATACCTTTTGTTTTTCTACATGGTTCACCTTTTCTTCATTCCATTCAGATGTCTCTCTAACATACAATATAAGTTATACCTCCATGTAATATCAAACCAACTTGTATAGAATCTAAATGGCTGTACGTGATTATTTAAAAGTTGGCGAACAGCGGGTATGTTTCCAACTCTTTCCTTTTGACAGCCATTTGACGTTTAGCTGCACCAATGTCCGAGATTGTTCACCGTTTTTACTTATTATTATTTTATTTGAATTATGTTCTTCCAAAAGTGACACAACCCCACAAACCTGGCAACACAAACACAGTGTACGATACGTCATTGATGTGAAACGTGAAATGTTGATCACTCGTAATGTCATTTCAACACTATCTGTAAAACACCGTGGGGTTTGTAACGGCAAATTTACCAAAAAAGTTAAAATTGTCAATATTTGAAATTTAGAAATGCATAAGTACTTTTCATTTTTCTCTTTTTTTTTGTTTTTTAAAGGCGCTGTACCTGACTTTTACGGTCTTACATGTGACAAAATCGCTCATTTTAAACATTTTGTAGTGGTCCAAAAATATTCTTCACTTACCTTATGTATTCCGAGCATCCTAATTATTCACCGTGATGAGTTTCTAAGAGCCAGAGTGAAGTTTTGCAGAGGAGCAAAGCAACAACTAGCATGCAAACACGCACTTCAATGAGACATAGCTTTTTAATCTGATGCAGAGCGGACTTATTTCGATCTCAAGAGCTGCTTATACGATTTATCTGTGCACATTTTGCTCAAATACAGGGGGGAAAAAACCCAAATTTGAATTCTAAGGCTTGCTTTGCACAGGTCACGAACGACCAAGTGAATAATTAAAATAGCTTGATAGACTTCTAGTGTATATGTCTAGAGGTAGGCCATCGCAATAATGTAATGTAAAAAATAAAAACAATGCAATTTCATTTTGACCTTGAATGTGATCACGCCAGATATTAAATACATCAAATATGCTCATTCGATGAACAATTTTTGAAGAGATAATTTTGCATCTCCACCCATAAATACATTTCAATCAGAGCTGCTAAACCGGGCAGCACCTGGAAAACGAAACAAAAGAAAAGAGCGAGAGAAGAAGGGGCGGAGTCTGGGTGTATAAGGAACAGTGTGATTGGTCGAACACGTATTCAGTTCAATTCAGTTCAAGTTTATTTATATAGCACGTTTAAAACAACTTCAAGTGACCAAAGGGCTTCACCTACAAGTCAACAAAAACAGAAGAAAGGGTTACATATAGATATATACAGATAACATGTGAAAACGACAATAAAAACACCAAGATAACCTGACTCGCTCGTACTAAATGCCAAGGAGAAGAGGTGAGTTTTCATTCTAGTCTTAAGAGGATCTGACAGGAAGAGGAAGGCTGGTCCACAGTCCAGGCGCTGACACAAAAAAAGGCTCTGTCACCTCTCGTCTTGAGGCGAGTTTTGGGTACGACCAACAGGAGGTGGACGGCTGATCTCATGGCTCTGGGCGGAGTACAGGGCTACAGTAAATCGTGAAAATAGACTGGACCCATAGAGTGCAAACATTGGAAAACAATAGCATTTTAAATTGCACCCGATATAAGACAGGGAGCCAGTTTGCACAGCACAGGTTTAATATGTTCTCGTCTCTTGGTATTTGTCAGCAGACGAGCTCCAACCCGACATACAAAGAATTGTGATAGACCAGGCACGATGTTAGAAATGCATGGATCGCTTTTTCGAAATCTGGCTGTGGGAGGTTAGGGCTTTATTTCAGCGAGGAGCCTCAACTGAAAAAAGATGGACATTATGACAGAGCAGTGCAGGAGACAATAGGTAGCCAGGCTGGTGTCTCCACTCAATTTCATTTCTCTCCAGCGACTCGGTCAGGAATCGGAATACATTAGATGGTTTTCAAGAACCCTGGATCTTGTAGACCACGCACCGACCAATCAACGAAGAGCTGTGAAGCCATGACGTCAAACTCAAGCGCCTGTCTGGGTCCCTTTTGTGCAACAGCACAACAATAAACAAAGCGGTCGAGATGGATGTAGATCATAAACTGTATAAAAGAAGTGGACTAAGCGAGTGTGACATCACCCGTAGCGTTCAGCGCCGCTCAAATGAGGCTCACGATGAGCTCGGTTACAGGAGCGAATCTGGAGCCAGGCTGTATGTTATGAATTGGATTTTTTTGAGGGACAAAATAGCTGAAAAAAAAAAAAAAAATCAGGATCATGTGTCGCAGGTTAATACGAACATTTAAAGACCAAAATGACGAGGCTCACTGCTGCAGTTACAGAGAGAGGGGCGACAAGATCCTAATGTAAATCAATTGGAGCCAGAGTCAGAAGGAGCCGGAAGAGCCTCCTGGCGAACTTCCTATTTGGCACACAGCGGCTAAAGCGATAGTCCACTCATATATACGGTCAATGATGTAAACGAAGAAATACATTCTGTGTCGACAACACTTTCCGAGATCGAGGACTTAAAACCGGAACAAAGAGAATGTTTGGTAAATTTTATCAAGCAGAAAGACGTTATTGCCCTTCTTCCTACGGGATTTGGCACATTACATACTTCACAACCAAACGGCAGCGATTGGTTAAATAAAAAAGTACCCACCTACCGTCGAGCGAACGAATCCTAATGCTGCGAGTCATACGGTTTCACTTCGTGGATGAATCAAGCTAGACAATAGAAGGACAGACGACTAATCACACTGTCAAACTCCGCCCCTGCAGCCTGGTGTTTGTATCAAAAACACCCAGCTGTGATGTCACATAGCACTTGAAATAGCAAATCACACATTTTTTTAATATATATTTTCAACACAAAGCTGCAAATGTACAGACAGTAGTTTGCACTAAAATTGCCAAAAAAATAATTAAAGAGCAGTAGATAATGCTGCGAAAACACCAGATACGGTTTAGTAGTGAAAAAGTTCAACATTGATTCACACTGAAAATATTTAATCAATCTGTTCCCATTAAAAATATGCTACTTAATTTGCTTACTGTTACTTCAAACCTTTTTCGATCTTCCATTTTCTTGGTGTATATGCATATTTTTCCACTCCAAGGCCATTTTAACATTGCATTTTGTTACTTCTACTTACTTATTTTCCTTCCTCACTTGACCAAACCACTCCGCTGTATATGAAATGCATGGCTGTCATATGAATGCTATCCCGTACTATTAGAGGACCGTTATATCGCATGGGTATTTTAAGAAAGTAGACCCTTAAATAACTAGACCAAGTGGTAAATGTCCCTAACCGTGGATCTTAACGCCAGCATAGACGATACAGTATCAGAATTATTAAAGATGTATCACGTAATATGTCCCTCGTTTCCATGACAATCCAAAAGTGTACTTCCTGTGTCTTGCCTTCCTCCAGCTCACCTGTTGTGTAGCCTTGTATGTGCGTATACTTATATTTGTAAATGACTTATTTTGACTGCATACATGACTCCTGGTTATTTATATGATCATGTTGTACAGCATATTGTTGATGTGTATAGGTTTAGTTGGTTCGTGGGGACGCGCTGGCAGTGGCCCCGGACCAAGCGCACTCAAATGAAAGTATTGCTCAAAGAGGCCTGCAACAGAATGAATAAAAGGAGGAGAAGAATGAAATACTGCTGTGGTTTTGTCTTTTTTGTTTGTTTGTTTTTTCACTGTATTTTTTGGGATAATCTAGGGCCTAGATTATTACAGGTATTATTCTAGATTCTAGGACAAAGGCAGAGATGATAAAAAGAATGCTATTTTGATACTTAAAGGTCTATTGTGTAACTTTTCTGGTAGAGGGTCCAGCACCGTTTTGTAAGTCTCAAGTAAGTCAAGTCCCAAGACAAATACAGGCAAGTCCAAGTCAAGTCTCGAGTTACTGGTCCATAAGTCATGGTATATGTATATATATTTATAAATATTTATATGTAGAAATGCATTTTTTTTTCTTTTTTAAATGTCTTGACAAAATCTTTGTGTGAATCATTACAGTCAGAACAGAAAGAATGTTCTGTGTAGTTCCCTCTGTTTTACTGTATTATACTGTATATTACTGTAGTACATTTGAGGATACCACATCACAGTACTTCAGTTATATACATACATCAAATCAAATCAAACTTTATTTATAAAGCGCTTTTCATACAAAAACATAACACAAAGTGCTTTACAGTGATTAAAAACAATCCCTCATTTCCTTCCAATCACCCACCCACCCAGTCCCCACAGCTGCCCGACCCCACATAACCAAACAACCCAGACACACATGTGCACACAGTGTTGGGGAGTAACAGATTACATGCACTGGAGTTACATGATCAGAGTACAAATTATAAGTAACTGTATTCGGTTACAGTTACTGTTTCAATGAGTGGTAATAGGATTACAGTTACTTTGTTGAAATAAAATGATTACATGGTGGCATTTTCCTGTTTTCATATTTTGGCCTAAACAAGGACTTAAACCAGGTCTAAACCAGGACTAAACCAGGTCTAAACCAGGACTAAACCAGGACTAAACCAGGACTAAACCAGGTCTAAACCAGGACTAAAATGGGACTAAAACAGGATTTAACAGGACTAAACCATATTGTGCGGACCCTGTCTCCTCGTCTTCTATCAATAATATTTTTAATACGGTTAAGTAAAGACTGGGATTTTTCTTTTCTTTTATCAGACAAAACATCTTATGTTATGATTTCCTCGTCTTTGCTTCTCTACAGCAAATCAAGTAATCCAAAATGTTCAGATTATATTACTCACTTTAAGTAATTTAATGGATTACGTTACAAACTACATTTTGGTGTATGTAATCTGGTAATCTGTAGGGGAATACATTTTAAAAGTCACCTTCACAACACTGCGCGCACACATGCACACACACTCACACACACTCACACACACACTAATATGCTAAAATACATAAAACTACACATAGTAAAATGTGAGGCTTAATACAGGCAAACCATCAGAAAGCACCATCAGAGGAGATGTCTACACCAGGAGCAGAGTCATCCAGCGCCACCAGGAACCACCACAGGGCCCAGGGGAGAGATGAGGCCCAAGCACTAACTCTCCACCAGGAGCCCACAAGACAGACCGGGCAGCCACAGCCGACCTCCGCTCCTGATGCAGAGGCTCCTACAGAGGAAACACTGGAAATCCTAAAAATATGCCTAAAATAAATAAATATAATAAAATGTGTACAATAGAAACAAGTAAAAGTATAAGACTTCAATCAAAAGCTAAGCTAAAAAGGTGGGTCTTGAGCCTGCTCTTAAAAACGTTAACATTCTCTGTAGCCCTGAGACCGTTAATATGTAATGTATACATGCATTATATTATACATATTATACATGTATATACATTAAGAAAGGCAACAAAAATAATGTGTACAAAACTGTATTTAAGTTGAACATAGTTTTGGCGTATGACAACGTTTCCTTGTGATGCTTAGAAAATTTTAGGTCCAACCGAACTGTGCGTAATGCTCTATTCAACCACCAGATGGCGCACTTGGCTTTCATCACCACTGGCGCCTAGCAGTAAAAAAGAGAGCCTCACTTTGGTAACTTTGGAAACTGTATTTCTTTGAAGATCTTAGACTACAGATGTAATGTAGAGGTCATGGTGCAAAGGATCCTAGGTTGAAATGACTCTGAATCATCCCTTTAAATGCTGTGTAAAGATAAAAATTGACTTCAATTACAGTTTTATTTCGAGAAAATTCTTAAAAATAAGAAAAATCTTAGAAATGAAGGAACATAGGGCAGAGGAAAGCTGACCCCGCTATTTTCTGATCTGTTATAATGTTGCTTCCTCGTCAAAACATTCCAAGATTTGTGTTTTGTTTCATTCACACGTTTATAACACTCTGTTCCACCTTGTGATGTCATATGTAATACAGGAAGTGCTCCACTGTGTTTTTAAAGTCCATACACTTTCACTAGAATCATTTGGATTATTTCAGACCTGGAATTGCAAATCTCTATAGAAAACTACCACCATCACAAGGTGGAAAGGAGAATTTTGAGCTTTGGAGATGCAGACTAATAATAAAGTGTTACTCAAAAATGTGTGAATGAAACATAACACAACTCCACCTAGTTTTTAATGAGGTAAAAACATTATAACATGACTTAAAGGTCACAGGAGTCAATTTGCATCCTATAGAAACTTGTGATTCGATATATTGTGATGGCCCATGGTATAATTGTGAGACTTTACGCAATAGAATGGAATTTTCAACATGAAATTGTAGGGTTTTTTTTCTGTATACTAGTCTATGTGCTCTTATACTTGTTCTAAAACTATTCAAAAAAAGGTACATTTCTCTCCTTTTTAGTATCGACACCTGCTCAAATGAGTATCTAGTTTCGATACTAGGTTTGGAATCGTTTAGTATCTTATGTTCAATACTTCTGACAATCTTAATTCAAACTTCAGACCTGGTTTCCTCCCTGTTAACTTGAAAACTACACTATTACATGATGGAAAGCAGCATTTTGAGCTTTGGAGATGCAGATTAATAATAAAGGTTTACTCAAACATGTGTGAATGAAACAAAACAGCTCCAGGTAGTTTTTGATGAAGTAAAAACGTTATAACATGACTTAAAGAGTTAATTTGCAGAGTATAGAAACTTGTAAATCGATATATTGTGGTGGCCCATGGTGTAACTGAGACTTTTGATGATATGATATGCCATTTTATAGTTTTGAAGTTGTAGTTTTTCCTCCTATAGTGACATAAAGTGAGTGAGCTCCACACCATAGCGCACCAAACCAAACCGCCCTCCTCCAACAGCACCGCGCGCAGCTGTCCCGGCGCACTCTCAACCGGAGACGAGCCTCGAGCGCTTCAGACCGGCCCGGGAGAGCTGACAAAACCACGGAGCACACGCGTAAAAGGAGGAGGGGTAATGGGGTCGGCAGCACCACGGTCACGGATCTAACCCAAACCCAGCGAGGAGGAGGCAGAAGAGGAGGAAGAGGAGCAGGACTACACGGGGGATGTCTGCCAGCCTGGAACCGCCGGCGTCATTCGGACTCATGTTCCCGTTCAAAGAGGAGCGAAGCCGGAATAAGGAGCGCCTGGAGGCCAGCCTGGCGGCGCTGTGCGAGCTGGAGTTGCTGAAACAGAGGCAGGAGAGCCGGGTTCTCAGCGCGCTATGCCTCGGGGACGAAGCTCCGGTGCGCACGGCTTGGACGGCGCTGCGGGCGACGGAGGAGGACGCACCGGATTTCGGCGTGAGGCTGCAGACCGTGAGTTGTGGTTGAGGGTTCAGGGTTTGAGGGGGGTAACAAGAGGGGCTCGGTGGACTGAAAGGCAGGAGTGGAGAGAGCAGACGGGAGTTTTGACGTGGGCTGAGTAGGAAATGGTTACAAAGAAATGGTCCGTTGAAGTTGATAAGAGGCTTTTAGAAGTAATGTGCCAAAGGGGAGACTGTGCGTTAACTGTGCGTGAGAGTGGAGCAGAGGTGATAGAGGAGCCAAAAACTGTACTCAAGTAGGACTTACTTCAAAATAATACGTAGAAGTACAAAGTAGTGGTCTAAAAAATCACTCAAATTTGGGAAAAGAGGAACTAAAGGAACAACTGTGGACGCAACATCTGATTTATACTTTAAAGTTGATGCAAGTGGAAGGACAAAAACATGAAATAATGCACACAATTTGAGTGATTTTGTGGAGCAGAGGAGCTAGAGGAGTCAAAAACTATACTCAAGTAAGAGTTACCTCAAAATAATACGTAGAAGTACAAAGTAATAGTCCAAAAAATCACTAAAATTTGGGAAAAGTGGAACTAAAGGAACAACTGTGGACGCAACATCTGATTTATACTTTAAAGCTGATGCAAGTGGAAGGACAAAAAACATGAAATATTGCACAATTTGAGTGATTTTGTGGAGCTGATGTGATAGAGGAGCCAAAATATGTACTCAAGTAGGACTTACTTCAAAATAATACGTAGAAGTACAAAGTAGTGGTCCAAAAAATCACTTTGGGAAAAGTGGAACTAAAGAGCAACTGTGGATGCAACATCTGATTTATACTTTAAAGTTGATGCAAGTGGAAGGACAAAAAACATGAAATAATGCACACAATTTGGTATAGGACAGACTCAAAAATTGGACAAAATCATTGCATCATATCTGAAGGAGCGGTGCAAGAAACACAAAGGTTTACTGTCAACATAAAGCTTTGTCACTTGTAGACTTGCTCTCAGTGGGAAGAGTAACTAAAACTTTTACTCAAGTAAGAAAAGTGTTACTCCAATAAAGAAGGAGTTGAAGTATGTTGCTAAAAATACTCTGAAAAGTACAATTTCTTTACAAAAGTTACTCAAGTACATGTAACTGCGGTACTGCGGGCATTTGGATTGAGTCAGCATGAGTAAGTAAGTACAAAAGTAAAAGTACTATGTTTAACTACAGTTTAGATATCTGTACTTTAGTGAAGTACATTTCCAGAAGATACTTTTTACTTAAACTTCACTACATCTGACAGCAGGTATTCAGGTTTTTGTATTCATGTATTTACTTTGGGCAAGTAAGAAATGGAACACATGACATTAATGAAATCATAGCAGAAATAACAACAGCAAAAAACAAAACAAAACAAAACAAAAATTGGCCCGAAAAGGAGTGGGAAGAAGAAAATGTATTTAATCCCACCCCCCTCTTCTAATCTGGCCTATCTGTACTTCCTATTATACTTTTGATCTGGACTAGAAAGAACTTTCCATATGGTTTGAGGAGTTATTTTTAGCACAACCAGACTAAAAGTTCAAGTCCCAGCTTTGAGTAAACAAAAATATACAGGCTGCTGTCGTGATAGTAAGATTTCAAACTCAATTTTGATACTAAAGATCATAGTCGATACCCAATGATAATGAAAAACACTCTTTCTTTAGGCAATAGAGTCATTTTCAACATTAAATTGGAGTTTTTTCTGTAAACTAGTTTATGTGCTCTTATACTTGTTCTGATGCAGCTCAAGATCATTCTAAAATTATTCAGGAAAGGTTCATTTCTGTCCTGTGAGTGTGACTTTTTTAGTATCAATACATACTCAAATGAGAATCTAGTTTTGATACTAGATTTGGAATCGATTAGTAGAGTTGTCTTGACTTAGACTCGAGTCAGACTTGAGTCACTATGTTTTTGACTTGAGACTTGACTTGATAAAGTAGACAAAGACTTGGGATTTGACTCGGACTTGAGGCCTGTGACTTGAGAAGACTTGATGCTTAGACTAGTTGACAAATTAACCTTCTTAATCACTCTTAAATCTTCATTCTTTCTATTCTGACCCTAATGATTCGCACTTTTGTCAAGACATTTAAAAAGGAAATATTAGCATTTCTACTCTTTTTAAGTACAATCTAGTTTAAAATACATATAAATTTGAAGCTTGAAAATTGAGGATTTGCGTGCGACGTGGCAGTCACATGATTTAATGTTTTGGTGGTCATACTGGAGGTCAAGGTTGGGGTTGATCCAGACGGTGTTATTCATTTACAATATAATCATGGCGACTTTAAAGAGCGTAAACGACATAAAACTGTCTGAAATCGCCAGCTCGTTAGATCAGCCGTCATTAGAAAGGTGTAAAGCTAAAGTCGTCCTCCTGGGTTGTGGAACAGATCCCGATCTAATTCCGACAGACCGCTTTGTTAGTTGAATCAACGCTCGTCTGTGCCTAAACTCCAGTGTCTGTTTTTTCACGTTAGATTTTCTTTCATTGGAAATAATCAAACGTTTTGCTTTGTCTTTCACTGGCGATGGGGCGAACATGAATAATAATGGGACGTAATCTGGTGAAAGTGGGTTATCATTCTTCATACCGACGAGAAAAAAATTCTTTTGGAATCTATCATTTCATTTAGTGTAAATCCCTTCTTCGTTTCCACCTCTGTCTGCGATCTTTCTCAGTCGGGATCTGATAAAAAGATACTTTGGCCTCCTTCTTTAGCAGATTGACTCCGATTAGAACATCCAATAGCAACGCAGGTCAAAACCACTGTTATTCAATTAAAATTTTATTGCACACAAATACTACACGTTTTTCCAGATGGATAGTTTGACCTTCAATGTGGCGGCATAAACACCAAGTCACGTGGTTTTGTGACATAGACGCAAAACTCTAATATTTGGTTCTTTGGTTAAAGACTTGAAAAGATTTGAAGCTCAAAGCAGACGACTTGGACTTGACTTGGAGTTATGGACCAGCGACTCGAGACTCAACTTACTTGAGACTTACAAAACAACGACTTGGTCCCACCTCTGTGGATTAGTGTCTTATTTTCAACAGTTTTGACAATCCTAATTCAATCTTCAGACCTGGTTTCCTCCCTTTATTACAGAGAAGTTTTAGAGAGACACTGCAGGACAAGACGAGTCAAAATAAGAGATAAGAAAATATACGGAAAATGTGCTTAGGCCAACTTCAGATATGATTTAGTTTGTGGTCTATCCTTTGAAAATACCAGATTTTTCAGCATTATTTTATTATAGAAAGGCGCCGCACTTCATTTTTCCTGAAGCTCTAGATAGATAGAAGATACTAGTTCTTTTAAAACAGTTTGGAAAGTCCAAAGTTATTCCTCACTTACCTAAGAATGTAACAATATTGGAAATATCGTGATGTTGTATCGTTAAAAGCCTCACAATAATATCGTGAGCTGTCACAATATATCGAATTATATGTTTCTTTGTTTAAATGCATGGTTTTATAGCAGCAACAGCTAAAAAACATCGGAAACTCCATATCCCATGATTCATTTCAGGGCAGACAACATGAAGAAATATGTTTTTTACTTGAATTCTTGGGATTAGGACGGAAATAATTCACACCAAAATCTTGTCAAGGGTATTTTAACAGCAAAAAAGTGTCCTATCTACAATTAGATCGGCCTCTCCAAAATATCGTAATAAATATCGTAAAGTGAGATGCATATCGTGATAATATCGTACCGAGAGATTCGGATATCGTTACATCCCTTTTCAAAGCATCTTAATTATTCACCACAATGAGTTTTTAAGCAACAACTTTCAGAGACCAGAGCAGAGTTTTGCTGTCGCTGTAAATCTAACAACAACTAGCATGCAAACCACCCACTTCCTGATTATCAGACACACTCAAGATCTCAAGAGCTGCTTATATAATATATCTGTACTAGGGTAAGACACATTATGCTCAAGTACATGTTGTGTCGATCCAATTTCATTCACTTTAAATGACAAATCTGACAGTTACTCTTACTTAAGTAGTACCTTAACTTGAGTCTTTTCTTCGACTACTGTTTTGTGCTTCTACTCGAGTAATAATAATTTGAAGTAATAGGCAGTGCTCTTAGGCTGTGTTCAGATTGCAGGGCTTAATGCTCAGTTTAGATTTTTTTGTGAAATCAGATTTTTTTGCGTGGTCGTTCACATTTCCAAGTAAATGTGACTTATATGTGATCTCCATTGTGAAGTTCAATGCCACAAAAGTGTCCCGCATGCACATTGGAGGACACAACGACGTCACACACAGCGAACATGCTCAATGTTTACGGAAGTCGCCTAAACGCTGGGCTTGTCTCCCAAAATACAGTCCAGTTCATGGTCAAATCAACAGGTTACACATCCAAGATCGCTTCGTTTGTTTGAGTCTTTATCCTCCTTGTATTTGGCTCGCTTTATTTTTCGTTGACATTGGAGCCAGGACCACCTCTAGCCGCGCTCAGACATTTCTTTGGCGATCATTTCAAAAACTGCCTGGTTCCGATAAGACCCCTCCAATTTGGCTTGAATAGAGCAATCCCCCCAAATATTAATAAACTGGCTAAACTCGCTTTGCCTCCATCGACTAGACTCTGAGCCTGACGTGTAGGTGGTATGAATGTGACCTGGCCGTTCAGACTGAAGTCACATGTCAAAAGATCGGATATGTATTGGTTTTAGGAGCACATGTCCAAGTGGCTAGCCTGATTTAACAGTTAGTTTCACTTCGTAGAAACCGTCTGACCTCACAGCGTTAGAATTCATTCACTTGACAGTAGGCGGGTACTTTTTTTTATTTAACCATTCTCTGTTATTTGGTCATGATGTATGTAATGCACCAAATCCTGTAGGAAGAAGGGCAATAACGTCTTTCCTCTTGCTAAAATGCACCGAAGATTGTCTTTGTTCCGGCTTTAAATCCTTAATCTCGGGAATCGCTGTCAATCTTTGGCTCTTCACTGATTGGCTGGTGCCTGTCTTGTGTATTCCGATTCC